AACCCACGACCTACTGGCTTCGTGCGCGAGCACTTAACCATTAGACCGCTGGGCCAAAAAAATTCTGATAATAATCAACTGCGCACTAGTGACTGACTTCAGGAGAACCTCCTGGAGTTCTAGTGAGAAGCCGTCACCAGTGGAGTTCAACCAGGTCTGTTGTGAGATATCAGCTCACTGAAGACAGTGGTGTTCGGTGGCGCAACTTCGTGAATTGGTTGAAGTTAGACATTAACACCGTTGGATGTCGGCACAGTGGTCTAATGGTTAAGTGCTCGCGCACGAAGCCAGTAGGTCCTGGGTTCGGATCCAGCGGGGGGCTGGTTCGTTGATGCGCACCGCTGAGGAGTCCCATACTAGGACGAAACGGCCGTCCAGTGCTCCGAGATTTTCCAATGTGGTCTAGCTTCAATGGACACATGATTTCAACCTGTGAAATTTCCTAAAATCTCCACAAAACTCATTCTGATAATTAATTTTTCACTTACTACTTAATATAATTTCGGATTGTTATGTAATTTCTTTTTATTGGAAAAGAAATGAAATTATGATTAATTACGGAAATGAATGATAAAAAACTAACATTTACTGATGTACACACTTAGTCAGTACATAAAATCTCAATCAGCAAAAAGGTATTACAACTTAAGCTAACAGAACTTTTTATAAATTAATGAATTTAATACTAAGATCTTAAGACATTTATCATATAAAACTGTTTATCATAAGTCTAAACTTAACATAAAAATAATTACATAATATAGTTACGTATATTAAGCAAAGGTTAATAGTGGATATAAATGGAATCCAGAACGCTCATATCGCCTCAGCTGGGTGTGCCTGGATCACATAGTTGACATTCATTCAGCGACTCTAATCCAGTACGTTTTGCACAAATATATGGTTATTTGGATTCAGGAGCTAGGTGTAAAACATTATGGCTTTTTTGAGTGAACGGTAGTCGGCTTGATTCTCGTAATGAACATAAACTGTGATCCAGACAAGTTTAGCTGACAAGAAGGGAAAATCCGATCTCTGGATTCTACGGCTAGCCACCATTGATCTTTGCCTAAAATTGCATAATCAATCATTTGAAGGTCTTTTTAAAATATGTGACTCTGTTAGGATGTAAAATTTAGCATTCTTGGCTTTGTGCCACACTCACTGGTTGACAGTCATTTGTTCTTCAGGGCTGCTTAAATCGGGAAAGGTATAGCCTGATTTATATGTATAAATCAGTGCTATTTAAAAAAAATCGTTATCACCATTTATTGTTCCCTACATTTTATTATTGTGATCTAAAAATGGAATTATTTGTATAATTTTACTAGTACACAAATGTATAAGTCAGATATTTTTTATTATTTCTGAAGAAACTGCCTTATTTTCACTGACTTCCACTTGGAAATTATGATATTCATATTTAAACTAGAAACAATAACATTATTGCGGATTTAGTTTATATAAAGTAAAAACAATGTGCAAATTATCGCAAACATTTAAATATAATCAACAATGACAATGCGTTTCATTTCATTTTTGTATTAATTGTTTGAATCTTCTCGTTGATGTTTAAGAAAGTTAACTGATCGGTTTCATATTGATACATATGCTTCCTATGTGGATTGCCTCAATATTGCTTTAAGTCACAAGCAGGTACATTCATTTGACGAGTCCAAAGTAAGACGAAAAGTGGGTTATGGATTCCACTACTAGATACTATTAATTTATGCTTATAATGCTCGCGACTTAAAGCAATATCGAGGCAATTCACATAGGATGGATATATGCCAATGAGAGACTGATTAATTGAAGTCCGAAAAATCATTGGGAAGATTCAAATAATCATTTCAAAATATGAATTAAAACTTAACCTTGATGCACAAAGTGGTAGGCATCTGAACTCAGCAGGTAAGCCGATAACTTGATGGCATTTGAAACAAAGAGTACTGGATTGGAGTGCTCGATTCAACATCAATTATCGGATGCAGGTTTATTCATCTGACGAGTCCCAAATAGGACGAAACGTGGGTCATGGATCCCACTGCTAGCCACTATCCATCTTTGTTTATAATTTGATATAGATTTTACTAAATTGCCACAAATCTATAACATTAGTGTTGTTAACTACTGATCAACTAATTAAAATACAATCAATAAAAATGTCAATCACAATTTCTTAATAAACAAAATCTTAAGAACTTGTAATCATCTATTCCATTTTTTGTGTGCGCTTTGGTTATTTACAGCAAAACTATAAAAACTAATTACTTTTATTTTATGCACTGTCAGTTTTTACTTTTTCTCATTTGTTTAAATCACATAACTGTACTTTACAGATAATGTGATTTTGACAGAGGATATGGGAGATTAAATTATTTACGAACAATCGACTGACATAATTATTTTTCAGGTTACTAGATGTTACATTAATTTTACAAAATAATAGATGCTGTTATGCTAATCAAAATAAACGTTGGATCACAAATTAGTAATAATAAAATTATATATTACCCTAATCAAAATATTTCGTGTTTTTAGAATAGGGGTTTTTGGAGATTGTAGTAATTTGAATGGTTGAAGTCCCACGTGCGAGATCGTGGATGCGCACTGCTGAAAAGTTCTATACTAGAACGAAACCGCCGTCCAGAGCTTCCACGTTTCCAATGGTTATCTATCTTAGATCGACTCATAACTTCAACTTTTAAAATGTTTCGTATTTAACAAGTTTCCGTTACAAAACGTGACTCTACACTTTGTGTTACCTAAAACCTGATACAGACTTTGCAAATCTACTTAAATGCTACAGAGTCACAAAGAATTTAATCTCGCAACAATAGATACTTGTTAACCGAATAATATTATTTTAATTCCCTCTTATTCTATGGACAGAACAGTTTAATTACAAAGTTTTCTAATACACTGTCAACAACGTCAGAAGCGCGTTTTGATTATTTCATAAAATTTAAATTAGTCTATCATCATGATCGTAAATCTTAACTCTAACCCATAAACAAAACATGAAACAAAGTCACTAAAATCTGTAATAAAATTAGATTTTGATTATCACCTCAATCCATGACTTTCATTTCATCCTATTTGAAACAAATCAGCCGGATACCCTCATGAAATTTGGCTTCTATCTTCACACTGAAACTTAAATCAAGTACTTATCTCTTTGAAAATCAAAGCGTTACGCATTCATTTTGTGTCAAGGCAGCCTCTACATCCTTTAACGGATATGAACTTATATATAAAAACATAAGCTTTTGAATATTGTTACTATTGATGGTAAGAACTACATCTGTTCAGTTCCCATTTCCATACTTTTACCTTTAGCTGACAGTGGCTATCTGAACCCAGTAGTTCGGTAAATAATAAATTGGCCTACCAAAGAATATGTACTTGATTTATTTCCCAGTGTGAATATTGATACTTGAATGCAAGTATACTCAGCTGTCGAGAACCGAATAGCACGAAATGGTTTTAGTAAATGTCAGTATAAACCTTTATGCAGCTTTACTCGAACTTACAACTAGAGACATCATCGGGATATTACGCTTATGATGTACATATACCATTAGAGTTTAATTAAATATAGTCTTCAGTATTAAGAACGGGAAAGCTCAACCTCTTGCATATTTATAGAATTATTTGTAGATATATAGCTTAACTTTATGTTCTAAAACAAAACTTAGCAATAACAAATCTTCAAATTTCCGAGGTGTTTATTATGCTCAAAATTAGGCAACTGAAATAATTAATAATGTGTATGAAACAAAATTATCAGGAGCCGGATACATTATTGTCACATCTGATCAAATCAATAATGATATATAACAATGGATTCTCAAAACATTCATAAAATTCATATTATTTCCTTTTATAAGCCATGAATTTAGTTCAGTACAATAATTATATGGTGTTTTGATGATATCATCTAACTGTAAAATACTTTTAGTGATGAAAATTAATTGATTGATCTCCGTGAAATTTAAAGTTGTTATGGTATGTAGATAATAACTTAAATCAAACCTAATATGTATGCAATTAGAGATTGATCAGTTGTTAATGGTGCAGAATGTTTTTTCCATAATGTAAAACCCAAATAATTAATAACAACTATTCATTATATTGTATTCCAAACATTTGCTGAAAAAAAGTTGAATAGTTGGGAAGTAATTTTCCTCTTTTCAAATAAGATCATTAGACTATAATGTTCTTTGATAATAGTAATAGAATAAACACTACATATCTCATAAATGAACTCACATTGATAACCTGTTGATTATTGTTAATAGTTAGCTTTTAATCAAAGAGCACATCAAAATGTTAGTTTCACAAAATAAGAAATGTGACTATCTACTTCATTTAGCACATATAAATATGAACATTGTAAATAATTTACATCAGGAACTATTGTCAGTCAGTGAAATTGTTGATTGGTACAATTTTGACATTACGATCTGATAACCACCTTTAATCAAAAGACAGCTTTCTAACTTTCAATGATTCATTAATTCATGCTTATCTGTGATGACGACTAACCGAGAAATGAACAATTGCCAAAATCTTTTGATTTGTTAGCCAACTGATTTTTTTTCAATTATCCTAAGTTTGTTAATAATCATGTAGGTTTAACTGACGTAAGAATATACAACTTTTAAAGTTCAAACAATCACTAGTATCATAAGGCGTTTTGTGGATATTTTGTAGTTTTAATAGTTGGGATCATCAGTCAATTGAAGCTAGACCACCATGGAAAATATAAAAGCACAATAGGATGAAACGGCCGTCCAGTGTTTTTAGGTTTTCCATGGTGGTCTAGCTTCAATTGACTCATGATCTTAACTAATAAAATTACTGGTATAATTGTAAATCAATTATAAATCTTGGAACATTGATTTCGGTTTAATTATTAATTTCAATTTGATCAAGAACCATTCACTTGCGTAACTCTCCTACTATTTAGTTTAATGTCACTTTCTTTATTATTTTAGACTCAAACATTGAGAAAATATGATTCGATTTTCATCAAATGGTTTGATGAGATTATATTTCACTCATCAAATATAAGTTATCAAATTCAGAATTGGTTTACTACTGAGAAGACTATCTTGAGTCAACCAATCAAACTGAATCATGCAAAACATCTATGGAAATCAAAAAATGAGCAACCATTATTAAGTGGATTCTATATTGAGTGGAAAACAAATGTTATTTCTTATATGAATTCCTATATGAGTAGTGTGTACAGTCTGAATCCATATCAGTTTTCATTATTCATAAATCACAAGTAAGAACACATTCTCAAATTACCTTTGTTAGTTGTATACCTTTCTCCTTACAGACGTTTCATAAGGTTTGTTTAAACTAAATTCATGTCCTTCGCAATTAATGTAATGGAGAACAAACTCAACCTTACCTTAGCGTCTCATAAATTCAGTCGTTTTGATCAAGCATGTATAGTATAACAAGAGAGGTACCTGTGTTTGCTTAGATTTTCCTATATCTTCGGAAAACACTATTACTGTGAAACACTACCGTGCAAATAGTTCTTGTATAGATCTTGTATAGATAAATTTTGATGACAGTTTTCATCACATATTCTAATTCAGTATTTTGAAAAATTGATATGTCAAGCTTAAAGCGCTTAATAAATCATTAATTCCTTTCAAAACATCCTTTGAATATAAATGGAGAAACGCCGACTAGACACGGCGAAACTATAATTTATGGACGGACCAATCAGATTTACATTAACAAGTCTTAGATTTTGGAGCGAAATTCATTCACTCATTTGGCTAAATAGAGTCTTGGTATTATAGCTGATATCATTTCGTGATGAAAACTTTAAATCTAATTCCTAACCCTAACCATATGCTGTAAATCATAATCCTTATTCTTCAAACTTTTTTTATAACTTCTTTATAAGTAGGTAGGCACCCTCAAGGTCACTTAAGCGTCGCCTAGTGTCGCCCATAAATTCTAGTCTCACTCTAGACACTAACAAACACAATACAATATTTCAGTATTATGACCAAGTAAATACATTAGTAATTGTTACATAATAAAACAAAACAGAAGTATTGAACATTGTAGTATTTTTTACTAAATATTACATTTTACGTAATACATAATTGAATTATGGGATTTCCTTAATACAAAGTAGCATAGAAATAGGTTTATAAAATACAAATTAGTTAACTGTACATAGATTATTTTAAATCTAACAATCTTGGCATAAAAAGAACTCGATATCACTAATTAAATGTGTTGAAACTTATTATTGTATAGATTATCCTATTCTACTGGAGATTCTCTAATTATCGAAGATTAAAACTTTGGAAAACTATTTGTTAAATATAAAGATTGTAAAACAGGATGTCGAATTATTGTAATCAGATACCTAAAAAATTTCTCATGAAATTATTCTTACAAATGAAACAATTACGAGAATTTTTCTCAAACATTAAGAATGGATTGTAGGAACATTAGACTAATAATATTTTCAGAAATAGGGTTTCGCGGAGATTCTGGTAATTTAATAGTTAAATTCATGAGTCAAATATAGCTAGATCACCATGGAGAACCTGGAAACACTGGACGGCCATTTCGTCCCAGTATGGGGCTCCTCAGCAGTTCCCATTCACGATCCTGCCTCGCAGGATTCGAACCCAGGACCTGTCGGTCTAGCGTGCGATTGCTCAGCCTCTCGACCACTGAACAGGCATCCACCGGTGTTAATGTCTAACTTCAAAAAGCGTCCATGATCCCGCATACGAGACTCAAACCCAGAACCTTTGGTCTGGCATGTGAACGCATATGAAATGTATCAGAATTCGATTTGTATTCCGTAATGATAATATTTAGGAAATTTTTATCTGATATTTCAGTAGGCAAAAACGGAATATAAGTGGTTAGAATTATTTAATGCAAGTCACTAACCTGATAATGTTATTAGTGTACAACTTAGATCTATATGTTATTTATCAAATGCTCATGCATAAAGGTCTCTAAAATCTCCCAGCCTTTCTTTGCGTTTCCTCCGTTCAATATTTTGACGATTACTTATATGAGCGAAATTACGTCATTTTGTTTGACAGCTAACTGGTGTTTATGTAGACGTAATATAGGAGGCGAGCCATTTTTTCGTATTCAGTATTTGTCACAGTTGTTACAGTTCATCTCCTAGATCATCTTTGGTTTGTTTTCGTTTTTCGTCGTGCTATTCGGTTTTACATAAAACTGTTCACAACGACTTTGATGGCTGATGGGCTACATTTATTCCTAGTGGTCTTATTAATCCGTTGGTGATCTGGAACATGTTTTTCATGTTGGGTGGAACTAATAATTTGTTGATCTCTACTGTTGATTTTATATCTAATCATCCGTTGAATAAGCATTTTTTTGATGAAATTTTGCGGGTAACCATTTTTTGGAGCTTTATTCATTGCGTATTTTCTATCATTTCTTTTTGCCACAGTAATGCAGCAATGCGTTTTTACTTTTGAATCTATATGGCTTACTTTGTGAGCCACCGGGTTTTAATGTAATAATTGAGAATTTGATCAGAGTAGGTTGGTATCAGATTAACTTGAGTCTCCGCATTTTCTCTGCTGGTTCTGGTGATCGGTTTGTGAAAAAACCATAATTTAGTGTCTGAATCTACTTCTTGTAGTGTCCATTGCTATGTCAAGCTCACATAGCCTATTCTAGCTTTTGAGCTTGTTAATTATTCGTTTATCAACCATGACTGATTTTTATGTGTGTGCATTTCTTATCTTAATCATCCCATGTCTGTAACTTATTTTTGTGTGACTATAAATAGTGATTCACGCTTGGCTAAATTAAGTTGGCTTACTTGCATTCTCCATCGCGCGTGATGTCGCTTCGCTTTCTTTTCTTTACTCCATATGCTTTGTTCCTCTGATTGTGTGCCCAGATCACTGAGTGTATAAAAGATGTGTATTCCAAAGTTTATTGTAGTATTTGACTTATTTAATTGCGTTAAGTCTATAATGTAATACGATGATTTATTATATATATATTTCAATAACAATCATTTTTAAGATGCAGAGTCAGATTAAGAACCACTAAAATCTAATGCAAATTTTATATCACCAAAAATACTTTATCAAGCTTTGAGTGTTTTCCAACTGATTCTTGTTGTTGTTTTTGTTGTCGTTGATGATGATGATGATGATGTATATGTTGTCTACATGAAGTATCCTTCGACTGAATCATGAAGACGTCAACATCTGAAGGTAAGCACGGCATACAGTGGACATCTAGGATGCAGCAGGACGATCTGGACTTCGCAGATGATCTGGCCGTCCTATCATAAACGCAACAACAAATGCAGGAGAAGACGGCCAGTGTAGCAGCAGCCTGAGCAGCAGTAGGTCTCAATATACACAAAGGGAAAAGCAAGATTCTTTGATACAACACAGCATGCACCAATCGAATCACACTTGATGGAAAAGATTTCGAAGATGTAAAAAGCTTTACATATTTGGGCATCATCACTGACGAATACGGTGGATGTGATGCAGATGTGAAGGCCTGGATCAGCAGTTACAGTTGTAGAACATCTGGAACTCAAGGCAACTGTCAAGCAACACCAAAGTAAGAATTTTTAATACAAGTGTCAAAACAGTTCTACTGTATGGGGCAGAAACTTCGAAAACTACGAAAGCAATCATTCAGAAGATACAAGTGTTTATTAACAGTTGTATACGCAAAATACTTCGGATCAGTTGGCCAGACATTATTAGCAACAACCTACTGTGGGAGAGAACAAACCAGATCCCAGCGGAGGAAGAAATCAGGAAGAAGCGATGGAAGTGGATAGGACACACATTGAGGGAAGCACCCAACTGTGTCACAAGGCAAGTCATCACATGGAATCCTCAAGGCCAAAAGAAAAGAGAAAGACCAAACAACACATTACGCCGAGAAACGGATACATATTTGAGAAGAATGAAGAAAAATTGGATCGAACTAGGAAGGAAGGTCGGGGACAGAGTGGGTTGGAGAATGCTGGTTGGCGGCCTATGCTCCACTGAGAGTAACAGGCGTAAATAAGTAAATAAGTAAGTACATGAAGTAACCTAATCTTTAGTTTAATCATCGTATTTAGAAAGTATGCAATTATACATAGCATCATTTAGTGAACAGGAAGATGTAAGTATTTAATTAGTAATATAATTCTTTACCTGTGTCCCACTTCCAAATTCAATCATATTTAATATCTAGGATTATTCAGTTGATAAATGAAAGATTTATTCATTTATTGTCAATTTAATAAACAAAACAAAACATTTAAACCTAAGAGTAAATAGCCTGTACAATACGTAGTTGATGTTATTTAACTCCAGTTATTTTTCACAATTCTATAAAATACATGTAATTTAAGAAAGGAAAAAATGTAATTTTTCAGATAAAATACCATCATCAATATTAAAACTGTTATTTAACTAATTACATTATGCGGTGAGACTATAATTTATGGACGCTAGACCGACCTTAAGAGTGTCCACCTAATAACCAAGATCAAATAAGGGTTATAAACCTGTTTAAGGGATTAGAATTCTGATTAACAGTTGATGATTAAGGTTAGAAATTAGATTTAAAGTTTTCATCACGAACTGATATCAGCTATAATGCTAAAACTCTATTTATCCAAATGGATGAGTGAATTTCACGCCAATATCGGAGATCTGTTATCTTATACCTGATTAATTCGTCCATAAATTAGTCTCGACCATTCGGCATATCAACAAATTCATTAAAGACAAAATTTAATAACTGAAAATAATTTTTAAAAAAACTGTACACAATATTAAATTTATTTGTCAAGTACTAATTATTATGGTTTATAGTGTTTGTTACCACGTGGTTATTGTGAAATGTTCAATACACAAGTAAATAATAAAATATATATTTTATCATTTTATTCCTTTATTTAATTAAAATCAGTTAAAATGTTTATCATATTCTCGAGGCTTAAATACTTTACAGTTATCTATTTAATATTAATCAAATTAATTCATCAATACACCTAGTGTATATTTATATTTGTATCCTATTACATTTCAATGCCTACTGTAAATATTCTATGCTTAATAAAATTAAAACATTGATAACAAATATATTTGATCAAATGTACATAACATGTTTAATTACTAAGTAAAATAGTGAAAAAAAATCGAATGTAATTGGACAACAATTATACTGAAGGTAACATAGTAAAATAGGTTACTCAAATATTGAAAGAAAAACAAAAGCAACAAAGATAAACACATTCAGTGATAAAACATTTAATTCATATGATATACTAGTCTGCTACAAACATGTCTCTGGAACAAGATTAATGATGCTTGATATAAGTTTATAAGCATAGATGGATAGTGGCTGCCTGTGGAATCGATGGCGCATATTTCGTCCTATTTGTGACTCATCAGATTAATATGCCTGAATATACGAGTTGATGTTCACTCTGCCACTCTAAATCAGTACCATTTGCTTCAAATATCATCGCGTTGTCTACTTATTCACTGAGTCCATACAACCACTAGCTCGTGCATCAGTGTGAAGTTTAATTCACATTGTACTGGTTGCTTCAATCTTGTCACTGACGTTTAGGAATTTAACTGATTAGTCTCTTATTCGTATATGTGCATTCTTTTTGGATCGCCTCAATATTGCCTTACATTACAAGCATCCATCTATGGTTATATTGCTTTTGACTTAAGGCAATATCGAGGCAATCAACACAAGATGTATATATCTCAATAAAGAAGCAATCAAATGCATTCCTAATCGTCATTGAAAAATTCGAACAATCAATACGAAACGAATTATCAGTATAGGGTTGTGGAGATTGAGATCATGAAACGACTGATTTAAGATCACCACTGAAAGCCTAGAAGCACTGAAAGGCTGCCTCGTCCCATTGTGGGACTCCTCAGCAGTGCACGTCCATGATCCCGCTAGCGGTATTAGTAACATCAATTAATATAGATGCTAGAATTGAAATGTAATCAACAATCTAGTCAATCAAAAACATAATAACTTCCACAATCTCATACTGATAATTATCATGTGCTCACTAATATCTAGCTTCATAAGGAAATTCTCGGAGCTCTAATGAGAAGCCGTGAATAGTGGAGCTAATCCGTGTCGGGTAGAGACACGTGTCTACCTCAGTACAATGAAAGATGGTCGCATAACTTCGTGGATTGGTTGAGGTTAGACATTAACACCATTGGATGCCGACTCAGTGGTCTAGAGTTTAAGCATTTGCGCGCGACACTGAAGACCCTGTGTTCGAGTCATGAGAGCGGGATCGTGGATGCGCACTGCTGAGGAGTCTCACACTAGGGCGAAACAGTCGTCCAGTCCTTCTAGGTTTTCAATAGTGGTCTGACATCAATCGATTCATGATCTAACTATTAACAGTTTTATTCTAAATCACCTCTGTTATTGATGAAGAAAAGTCAACTTATAATTTGATTCGTTTTCAAATGTATCATTTGACAAACTAGTTTTTATGACGAATTCATTTACTTTACAACTTACTGGTTAAAATAGGAAAAATGTACTTTAGAAATTCATTCTAAATATAGAATAATGTATCTTAGCAACATTTATTTATTTGATATACATACGTTTATCATTTTATAGATCAAAATTTTATACTTCTCAAACAGTACAACTTATGAGTGGATCCTATGAAATTTTTGGTTATCAATCGGATAAACAAATTGATTGGAATTTTCATTTAAATAATAGTTTTAAACTTGCCACTGTTTCTAATTTGTCAATGGAAATATTATTTGATCCATGGAGTTATAATTATGAATTATTTAAATACATGTAAGTTTATAATTAAATAATTCACTACTGTTTTATCAGAAATATGATTATATGAATTGTACGATATGAATTTTATCAGTTATCATATATCGAACTAATGAATATTCTTGTGGATCTCTACTAATTGAGGTGTTTGCAAAATGTTCCATACTTTCTTAACATATAATATTAACTTGCATAGAACTAGGTCGTAAGAATGCTGAGAGTGATTAATTTAAGATTGTAGTATCGGTTATTATGTTAAGCCTATACACCTTATACTAGCTTTCAGACAGGTCGATCTCTTCATTCTACTCGAGTCATATTTTGACCATGTTAATTACTCGCTTATCATTCTTGATTGTTTTTATATGAGCCGTATACGTATGTACATCTTATCGTACTTACCGCATGTCTGTAGCTTAATTGTTTGTGACTATAAACGTTGATTACCACTTGACTAAATACAGTTGGCCCACATGCCTTCTCCACTGTGCGTCTTTTCGCTCTCTCTTCTTCCTTTTCATTCGTTACGTCTCTCTGATTATCTGTTCCGATCAACAATTGTATAAAATATATGTATTGGGAAATCTATTCTCGTATTTGACTCATTTAACTCCGTTATTCACTAATGTAGATTAAGTCGATAATTATACACCAGGAACGACCACATGTATATATTCGATATTAATCAGAAATGATCAAACTGAAGTCAGATACATGTGTCAGCAAATGACAACATATTAGATATTTATTGTTTACTTGACATGTGTCGAAAAGTTAAGTCTTCCTATTTTGTACCACAATTGAATATCTCATTGAATAAGCAATTGGCAAATATTGCTTTTTATAACGTAAACAACAAAGCAGAAATTACACTTTCTATGAATCTTCCTTTTACTATAGTTTCTATTTAATGAAATAGAAAACAGATATGATGTATATTACACTTCAACATTAGGATATTTATTTTCTAAAATGCAGTCAAGTAAATCCATAATAATTAGACATGCATACAGAAGAAAGTATCCTTTTTTCAATGTTCCCATCTTAAATATTACCACTTTTTTTCAATATTCAAATAAATTTTGTAGAAAAACTGATTTTTTCATGAAAAATGGTAAACCATATATCAATTCTCAATCATCAATATTAAATCATTCAATAGAAACAACACTTCATCCTTTTAATTGGTTACATTTAAATATTGAAAGATTATGTAATTCTGAAGACAAATACTTATCGATCCAATGGTTTCAAATCAACATCATTGAAATTAAAGGATTTTTATTTCAATTTAATTATTTATCTACTAGTCATGAAGAAACAAAAAATAATCTAACTAACACTAATCACTTTTTTATTCATCGATTAAATGTATCTATGCAACAGAATCATAATTTACAAAATAATATTTTCCAATTCAATATCAAGATAAAATATCAGAATAATAATTTACAATATGTTGATTTAAATTGTTTAGTATTTCAGAAAGATTCATATCATTTACAAAGTAAGTTTACACAATTTTATTTGTATAAATTTACTCCTCCACCACCACCACCCCCCACACTTTTCTACATTTGTGATTAAAAATGAATGAACAATTAATAGTGGATTAATTGTTTGAGTATTAAAGTGTTAACAAGGTATAAGTATCATCTAAGATAGATTATAAAATACTCGATTAATGAGATGGTGGTAGTGATGGTGCAAAAAACACTACAAAGTGGATGCCTTCTTCATCTTCGCCTAAACAGACATCAATTAATAGTTGAGCGCTTTGATATATCCTCGTTTATATCAATGCATTTAGATCAACTACAGACACACATTCAACTGGGAAAATCGTGTGGGTTAGCATAGAAGCTTGACACCTAAGTAAATCAACAAAAACACATTGAAATCGATCAAAACTATCAACCAATCAGAAAAGTGGTGGACAAGTATAGAACCAGAAATCAAATCAATGAGAGATACAATTAAAATGAAGAAGTAGACAATGATAAGTTAAAGTTCAACAATAACCAATCAACATAAATGTCTACAGGAGAAGCTGTGAGTTATATATGGAAGAATTCGAACATTTCACCTGTACTTGAAGTTCGTGATGATGATGTTGTTCAAAAGAACGATGAAAGTTCCACGACTAAACCATTCAGCACAGAGAACAATATTTCACCAAAAATTCGATCAACAAATTAGGAAATGAACAAAAATAATCGTTAAAATTTTCGTATTATATTAAAAAATATGTAAACGAAGAATAATCCTTTCAATAAGCTCTGTTCAGGTTTTACAACTAGATATATACATATTCAAATTAATCTTCCGAAAACTGATCAGGTTTAAGGCAAAATACATTGTTTAAAAACTACAGCACGTGGGTTTAAAAATGCAAAGTACGATTAACATGAAGTGAGATCGCATAGCAGAAATCACGTAATACGTAGAATAATGTGAATTAGGGACGAATTAGTAAAAAGGGGTGGATGCTGAGTGAGTTTATCAAAGCGTTTGCAAATGTTATAATTATAATAATAGTGACAATAACGATAATGATAGAATGTGCGATCAAGATAAGTTTGAGCTATGAAAATACAAAGAGGAAGATTGTATTCTAGATAATAGAATCACATCACCATATCATCAGAAGTCGGCCGAGGTAAAAAGAAAGGTTAGATATGTTGATTTGTTGACGCAAAGCTTCACTTTTTCTTGTCCGAATAGCTATTACATCAACTGTCTGAAGGATTATTAATCAGACGGATTTGGGCAGATTATATATATTATTGTAAATCATTGCTCCATGTTGCCTGTATACTCTGTTTGTAATAAATGAGCTAAAAATCGAGCTGCTGTCAGTTTTAACTAAATCTTTGCTTAACCACACTATGAGATTAAACAATGGTGTAATTAACTTTTGGTTATCTGGATAGAATTCTGAAGTTTGTGCTGATGATGTCGTTCAGAAGAACGATGAAAGCTCCACGACCAAACCATCCAGCTCAGAGAACAAAACTCCATCAAAAATAACTAAATACACTAATTATAATTACAAGTTAAACTGTTGATAGTAAAAAAATCAATAATAATGAAAATTATTGAAAAACGAAATGTTTGTTTTTTCTCTCTCAGAAAATATCACATTACAATGTTTATATTTAAAAGAAACCCCTCTTTAATTAAAACATAACTTTAATTCAATCATACAGTGTGAAAATAGACAAATTCATTATGAATATTATTATATAACATTTTGTTTGTTAGTTCAACAACAAAACTGTTTTGTTACTAACGGCTTTGTGTGATATGTAAGTACAATAAAGAGATGATATCCCACGACTGATCATTGACTAAATATGGATCCATAAGTGTTCAATGTCAATTACAGTAAACGAACTCAGTTTAAATGAGACTGCATTTTTAATTAGAAAGCTAAATGTCTGAAAAAAAAATAATAATAATACTAATCAGAATAAATTCCTTTCTACAAGAATAGAAAATTAAATGAGATAAAAAGTAACTGAAAAACAAAAAAATAAGAAAATGAGACAAGTACACCACATTATCCCGGATATGACGAAAAAATCTATCTGATATTTGATATAAATAAATATGTCTGGAACAAAATATGTTTAAGAGTGTCAAATGGTTCCATCATAAATGAGAAAATGTTTGATAAAAACGAGAACGATAGGTTCTGGGTTCGAATCTTGCATGACGGGATCATGGATGCGCACTTCTGAGGAGAACCCCAATAGGTCGTTCAGTGCCTCCAGGTTTTCGATACTGATCTAGCTTCAATTGACTCTTGAATTCAACCATAAAATTAAATGAATTCTACAAACTTTTCATGTTTATGATGTTCAAATTTGCAAAAATGTCATAATTTTATTTTTGGCATAATTTAAGTTACACTTGTTACTACACATGGAGAAGCATAGACTGCTCACTAGCATTCTCTGTCTAACTCTGTTCTGATCAATCCTTTCAAGTTTCTATTCATCCTATCTATGTCTGCTTCCAGTTCTCGGAGAAGCGTGTTCTTTGGCCCTCTTTTTTTCGTTTACCTTCAGGATTCCAAATTAGCACTTATCTCATGATGCAGTTTGATGATTTCTTAAATATGTATCCTATTCACTTCCAACGTCTTTTCTTAATTTCCCCTCTCATCCAGAAGCTAAATATCACCTAGTCTAAAGATTTAGTGAATAAATCTTAAAACATATATATGGAGATCACCATTCTTACAATTATTGAAAAGTACTGCAATATTTTGTTACAAAATGTTACAAGAAAATTTATTATTTACGCTTCAATTTAATCTCTGAGTTGTGCCTTACTTAAAATAAGCATAAAAAGTATAATTTAGCTTTGGTTTTCAAAAAACCTACATCGTCAATTGTTATGTACGTGTTGCTTATTACCTATACCTGAAAAATGATTTACTACTGCGGCGAACAAGAACACAAGTGGGGACAACTGAATGCATTTATTTTGAAATTACAGAGCATCTCAATGAACTCTGAGAACCATGTAGTAAATACTTAATTTGTAAAGTATCAATCCATAGTCTCAAACTTTACCGTTCCTTTTGCAAACAATAATCTGTTGTCTCAGATTTCATTATTCATGCGTTTTCATACTAATGGCTTTCCATTTTCGTTCTTTCTTCATCGATCTTCCACTGAAATACATCCTATGCTACTCATATGGATATAAGTAACCCACACCACACTACTACAACCCAGAAAACAAAAAGACCCTTATTAAAAATTCACTTATTTTATATTGCTTTTTGATTTCATTAACAATTAGGATAAAATCGCATATATAAAAAGTGCCCAGAATTTTAACCAATCATATTCTACGTGTCATGTTAAGCATAGTTTATGTTCATTTAATTCAATGAAATACCCCATTCAAATAAATTAATCTCATACCAAATAAAATATCCCAACTGGAAAGCAAATACTACATAAGCATACTGAATCTTTTTTTTAAAATACGAAGGAAATAATGCTGAACAAAATCAACCCGATCCTATTAATTTATTTAATCAGTATGTTTAGTTAAACGTAGGTAATTTTAGATTTTCGTTTCTTTTTCTTTTCTATTTTTAATTGTAATTTATTATTTCGTATTTATATTCTACTCATTATCGTCATCATCATCATCAGTAGCAGCAGCATCAACAACAACAGTAACAAAAAAAACAACTTTACACATTTGAATGAAAATACTTTTTTTTAATGCAAGAAATACAATTTCTCAAGTACAAATTATACATAGAATAACATAAATGGAATATTTTGTTATTTTCGTTTTTTAAAAAAAAATGAATGTGACTATAATTAGAACCAATTCTTTCTTCTTTTTATTTCTTTTTCTTTGAACATTCATTAAATGCGATCAAAATGTGGTAATGTCAGACGAAAAAGAAGAAGAAACTAGCTCTAGTCAATACGGTTTATTTATAAACGCATTTTATATTCATAACTTGTGAAATTTACTTCCAAGATGATATATGTTAATTCATTATTATTATTATTATTTCTGATTGTGGAATTTATTCCAAAATTTTAAAATAACATTATTGGGTTTTCTTGTACTAAACATTCTTTTTTTGTATTGTCTGCATACATTATGGTTATAATGTTAAATATTATTTTAGAACTCCTGTGGTTTATTTTTACCTTTATACCTTTGTTTTTTTTTTCTATTTTACATATGCTTGATCTTTTCTAAATTGTTCTATTATTTTGACTAAACTTTTTGTACAACATAAACTAACATTCCAATTTATTCTTTTGATGTTATGTTTTGAAGAATATTGTAGTGAACGAGAACACCAATGGGGACAATCAAATGTACCTGAATATAAAACTTACAGAACATCTTAGTAAAATCTGAGAACTATACAGTAAATAATTCATTTGTAAAATGTCAACCAATTGTCTAAGACTTCATTATTCTTTTGTTACCACACCAATCACTCTCTGTTCTCTTTCTCTTTTCTTCGATCTTCTTAATCTTCTGCTGCTAGACATTTCACTTTCGATTGATGATATATAATACTTATATCTGTCGACATCAGTAACACATACAACAATATATTTCCAAAAAATATTCGTATGATATTAGACAAAATTGTTTTTTACTTCGCTAGAAAGTTTTAAATAAAATTATGGTAAAAATCATGACGTACCTATCATGAAAGTGGATAAAAATGTTTGTAAACGTTTATTTATATGATATAATTTCGAATGTTTATATATTTTGATGAAGTTTTGTTCTCTGAGCTGCATTCATTGGTCATGGAACTTTCATCGTTCTTCTGGACGACATCATCAGCACAAACTTCAGATAGAAGCGAAGCGTTCGAATTTATTTGGTTTTATTTCCCATACAACCAAAACAGAGGAGTAAACAATGACAAGTTTAAGGTCAACAAGAACCAATCAACATCGAGGTCTAAAGGACAATCTGTGAACCACATATAGAGAAATTCAAACACTTCACTTCTATCTGAAGTTTGTGAAGATGATGTCGTTCATGGGAAGGATGAGGGCTCCACGAACAAATCATCCATCTCAGAGAACAAAACTCCATCAAAATCATCCACCTGAGCTACAAATCTTCCCCACCATCTCAACGTTTATATATATATATATATATATATATATATATATATATATATATATATATATATATATATATATATATATATATATGAAGCAGAAGATAGGCAATCAGACACATGTAAGTTCATTTGACAATAAGCTTGTAAATCAAGATAATATCGAGGCAATATGCACAGCATGCATATATACCAATAACAGACTGATCAATCGCAGTCTTAAACCTCAACGGGAAGATTCAGACAAACAATATCAAGTGAACAAGCTAAATCGTCTCATTAATTTATAACTGTATTGAATTTCATTAAATATACTTTTATGTAATATCAATTTGTGTATTTGAGTTACTATTAGTTATCAACTTTATTTACGGGAAACATGTTTTACTATTTTATAAAAGTTTAATCTTGCAATTCTCACAATCTTATACTATCTTGTAGTTGACATTACTCAAGACGGTTTAATACAAGCGATAGGCTACTTTAATGAACAAAGAATGATCAAAGCAAATGGAAGTTTAGAGGTTCAAGGAAACGATACAAATGCAAGGATACAGCTTCATAATCCTTCCATATTTTTAAATGTTAGTTTTAAAAAATACCACAATTCTCTTCTCGTTGTACGAGCAATTAGTCAAGCTGATCATTACCCATTCCAATTCAGTTGTAAGTAAAATTTGCTAAACTATTATTATTATATATTGATGGGTGTGTTATATGAGAGAATTATTCATCCGGATTTAGTCATAGTTATAATATATGTAACAACCTCCTTTTTAGGTTTGATTTGAACCATTCACATATTTTGCAGTTAGCAATTATTATTTCATATCAACTACCAGGTAATTTAATGTATTATGTAATTCGAACTATGTAAGTTAAAACCGATTTCATCAAAATACCCAATCACTTTAACTAATGTTTATATTACTTTAATCAAAGAATTCAATCAAAACTAATAACAAAACAATCAATTATGGATTATTATCAAATGAATGATCAACCTAATTATAAACTGAAATGATCTTCTAATTTATTCATACTGGTTTATATAACTTTAATAACTGAGACAAACGTTATTTAATCAAATTATAAACTGACAATAATATAAAAAAGGGCTAAGATTCTGTTTATTGTAGTGATTACATATATATAGTATATATGCTTTCTGAACAAGATATTCTTACAATATTTAGTTCTGTATAATGGCTCTATACTCTGTATATCGTTTACATTATTATATAATTTGTCTGGAATTGACAGATAATATAAACACAATTAGAATAACATCTAAAACCGAATTCACTTTTTTCTTCTTCTTAGGAAACAAACAAAACTTAAGTGAATATAACGATGTATAATGTTTAATACAAATGTTTACAATTTATACTACTAATACTAAGTGTTTTCTCTAAATGATATTTTTATATGTTTTTACTATTATTCTGGACGGTAATTTCTCTAAAAACAAAAATGCGAAACAAAACAGTAATTAAAGTATCAGTCTTGTCTATAGAACACGTTTTTTTTTCTAAAAAAAAAAACAACTATTATGTTGAAACATCCGTAAAAGTCGGCTTAAAGAACTTACAATTATATTTCTTATTACATTTTTTAGATGAAAGACTATTCTTCATCATTCAATGATGAGTTGATTTGAAAGTGGATTTTATCTTTGACTTACTAAAGTAAACTAATAAATAATAATGCACCAAATAGAAAGAAACAAACCTTTCTCTATGTGAAAAAAACACACATTTTTTGTAAGTAAACAATACATTTTGTATGTAAGTACATTTAACCAAAAGAAGTACTATTTCAATAAAATGATTTAAAAATAAAAAACATACACACACACACACTTAATAAAGTGCTAGTTAAGTGAAAATATTTTAATCATTGATATGAAACGATTGCACAATTGTTTCGAGGCTCATTTTTTCATTTCTGACTAAAAATTTTGAAAAGTAGAAGATATTAAATAACCATTTTACCTTATCTTCAAATGGTTTTTTTTATCATTATTTGTTTATGAGATCATAGTGATTCTGATCTACAATTTTAAAGAGTAAAGTAAGCTTGATATGTTCAAACTAATAAGTGAAATTATCTTTGGTTCATATGTATGTACATAGACTAAAGACAATATGTAATATATTTTACATATTATCTGATTCTTAGTAGTATATCAGTTGTTGTTCGTTAACTTTTATTCTACCAATAACATATGGTGTCTAGCCAAAATGCACTTTAATGAAGCTCAGAAATTATGTTTAAACAATTTGGTCGATATCATATTGGGAATTATCGGGAAGAACCTCATATAAATGAATACTCGAGGAAAAACCTGTCCCTTAATTGAGAATATATTTCAGGAGGATATGATGAGAAAATCATAATGGTATTTAAAAAATCTTCATTATGGCTCAATTAGTTTCTCTATGCGACAATAAATGTTCATTATGTTGCTCAGAAATAGCACGCTTCCAGTTGCATTTTGTAAATTTAAACGTGACTACAGTAGGTGTACGAGAAGGGTAGGGTAGAGAGTTTCTAACATGTTATCCGAACGTGCTTCCTGAAACTTGTGTCGAATAGCCAGGTACTTGATAAATGGTGGACATAATGTGGAAATATATGAAGCACTTAAAATAATTTAAAAACAAAACTTACATCACTTTTACTTCATTTTTGAGCGGCAACTGCAATCACGTTTTCCCGACTTGATATTTGTATACGGAAAGAAAGAATGATATACCTTTCTTTGCTATGGTGATTACACTCGCAATCAGGTAATTCTTTGGTTTGCAAAAACTCGTATTGATACTCACATATCAACTTGATTTGGTTTCTAATTACGTCTAATAATTGTGCAATCATATATTAATTTCATTTATACCATTTAGTTCGCTTTTTCTACTTCATTATTATTATTAACTATAAAACCAGTTGTACTCAGTAAACTGATTTTTTTCTAACATATAAACACGCATCAATCCTAACGACGTTCAACCACACACAATTTCTGCTCTTTTCCTAATAATTTTCTGTTTCATTGTAAGCAGAGATGGACGATGAATCGTAGGGGAACCTAGGAAGCGCATTTTGTTCTATTTTGAAACTGGTCAGCTAGATGTACCTGAACCCCAGAGCTGGTGTTCGTTCTGGGACTCAAACCCAGTATCAGCATCGTAAATGCACATTTCTGAGGAGTCTTATACTGGGACGAGACAGCTTTCCTGTGCTTTCTCGTTTTTGTTGGTTCTTTATCAATAATTCGCTCTTTGTATTCCTCCAGACATTGAGTTAAAGTATCACTTCATATATTTTCTTTTGTTTTTTTTCAAACTATATTCTCACTCTTTTGCTTATTTAGTATTACTGCTAACAAATTAATTCAATTCCCTTATTTATTTCGTTGACTTCATCTCCTTACAATAAAGTGATACGGCAACGTGACCCAACCAATATCTGTGCTAAGCTCTATGTTAATTAGAATCGATATATTACATAATTTTTTGTCTAAATGCATTAGTTTATGCACAGGATTAATGATCACACTTACTTTGAAAATACATAACTTACTGATTAAATGCTTATGTAACTATCTATTCGAGTTTCAGTTTGAAGCTGCTTGTTACTAATGTCTCTCGATGAGATTTCTTAAGATATAATTAGTGCATTTTACAAAACATTATGAAGAGACCTTTTTCAAATAAGGAAATTAATATAATCTTAATAGAGACGGAGATGGTATATACTTACGTCAAAACACTGAGATGAGCATTTCAAAAATATCTATCCTAAATGATCTTAAACAGAAACAAAAACGAAACACCTACAATTCACAGTACTATAGAAAGATATTACATTTAGAATTTTTTTTTAAAGAATAAGACAACGTGTATTTTGTCTATAGTTTAAATTACAAAACAAACATGAATTGTCATAGTTAAATGTAATCCCAATAATTACCTGAAATAATCTGTTATGTGATATAAGGTTTAGAGAATAGTTTCTATGAGCAAACCAAAATAATAATATGAAGTTAATAGATAATTAGTAGTAGATAGGTAGATTAGTAATTAATAGATACAGTACATCTTATATCAAACGAAGTTATAATCATTCTCAATTTTCTTTTTTATCTCTAAATAAATCACAATATATTTCAATAAAGCAAGAACAAACATTGATGCAGAATAGTATGAATTCATATTATTTCGAGGTTTCTCGTCAGCTGCTTACAAACCAAAAAATGTGATAGAATTTTTACATTGAGATAGAGTGAAAACAAATGACATAGATGAGTGTAAATAACTGGGTTACAATAATAACTATATATATATATATGCTAGAACAGGTCAGAGGTCAAAAGGAATTAATTCGGGTTGGGTGGTGTAATAATGCAATTGAATAATCATAAGATAGGTTACGTAATAATAATTAAATAGAATATGAAAAGTTAAGATAATTTAGGAGGATCAGGTGGTGGAAATGCGTAAATAATAATGTGGTTTAAGAATTATGTAATAGGGGAGGAATATAAATATTTTAAAATAAATAAAAATAAAATAATAATAATAATAAAGGGTTACCAGGGTAGTGATAAGCTAATTAACGTCTCTTTTTGAATGCATAAGTCAGGTTTAAGTTTTTTGATCATAATAGCTTCAGCAAAACGGAGGGTGGTCGTACTTCTTTGTCTATTGATAACTTTGAAAGCATGAGGAATGTCGATGGTGTGCCCGGTGTCAAGTAGATGTCGAGCTATTGCACTGTTGAAAGCCCTGGTCCCGCGCAGACTCAAGTTTTTTGGAACGTGCTCAGAAATGCGGACATGCACTCTTCTCTCAGTTCTTCCAATGTATGTGCTTTGGCACGTACATGTAAACTGGTAGATGCAGTTGGAGCTACTAAGAAAAGATGGCTTGTCGATTTTGGTTTGTTGAAGTGAGCAGTTCGTTTGCCATACTGTCATAAGTTTTGCTGCTGGGTGGGTCACTTTCAATGCAGAGTTTATTCTGTGATTAATTATTCCGGCAATTTCATCACCTTTGAAGCGTAAGTGTAAGAAGCAGGTTTTCTTTTCTACTCCATCGTATTTTGTACGAGGATTGGTTTTTGCATATTTCTGGATAAATTTCAATGGGTATTCATCATCACGTAGAACATTAGTAATCAGATTAATTTCATCATTAAGGTATTCTTTTGAACAGACTTTTTGAGCGCGGTCAAAAAGGGTTCGTACAATACCCTTTTTGTAACTCATTGGGCAGAAACTGTGGTAATTGAGATAAAGACCACTCCAGGTATTTTTATGGTGAATATGTCTATGTAATTTACCATCAGATGTTCGTCGGATCCCAACATCGAGGAAATGGAATTTGTCTTCAGCTTCTTGTTCCATAGTAAACTCTATGTCCTCGTGTGCTTTATTAAATAGATCGAGTAGCTAATGGCGTGTTCGTGATTGTTGCAGACGAGGAATGTGTCATCAATATATCTGCAATACAGTGTAGTACCATCGATTACGTGCTTAAGCTTTTTTTGTTCTAGGTTTCCCATAAATATATCGGCAAGAATCATATATTTCAATAAAGCTATCATTTAGATATATTGTCGTTATAAAATTATTATTACTGATGGTAGATTATATTCAAAAATCGAAATGTCCAAGATCTTTGATAGATCCTTAGTTGATTATTTAACAAGACTATGATTTATGAACCAACTAATCAGAAGAGAGCAGATCATGGATTTTGGCACGAAATTCATTCACTCATTTAGCCAAATATCATTTCGACATTACAACTAATGTCAGTTCTTGATGAAAATATTAAATCTAATTACTAAACCTAACATTCAACTACAAATCTTAATTCCTCGCGTTAATATATAACCCTCATTTAACCATAGTAAGTAGGTGGATATTCTAAAGTCATTTTATTGTTGCTCAAACATTATCCATAAATTATAGTCTCACCCATTATTTAATATAAAACCTTTAATACTATAAATAAATGACTAAGGCAACGGAAAAATTACAGTATTTATTGAAAGTAAACTCTTCATTAGACATTTAGATGCAAAACGACAAAAGACAAATTGAATACATTTCACAACAATAAAAAGTTTATCACATTTTTCAATGCTCAACTTAAATATTGTGCATCTTTTTGGACGTTTCTCTTTTAATTGTCACGCTTATTAATGTGAGACTTTTCTAATTAAACTTTTCATTGGCCCTCTTATCTATGGATACCGTTTTCCTTGAGGTTCATATATATTCTGTAGATAAATGCAACTTCTTCTGATCGTCTTAAAGAGTCTTGAAGCTATGACAGTATAGTGAGTAATGTATAAGTACGTATATATTGTTTTTCTGAAGCGTCTAATTTTAGAGGAAAATGCATTTTTACTGGTTATTTGATTATTATATCACAAAAGTTAATAAACAATACAACTGGATGTATTAATTTTTTTAGAATCCAAAGAGAGAATCCTTCCTCGTGACTGAAGACAAGAACAATAAATGAGTGCAAAGCTTGACGATAATTGACTTCACTACCTGCAATGAGAAAACTTAGTTCACTGTCATTTCGAGCCTATTGACTACATGTAAATCTCATCCTCAGAATCCATTCAGTACTGAAAGATCAAGTGTCCAACAGTCATCCCTATTCATTATTAAGTTAGTGTATCCGTCCAAACCCATGAAGAGGAGACCTGAAAATTGGATGACCGTGATAGGATAATAATCATGTCCAAGATATATTGATTACATGTTGTCATCTATCATTAGAGACCTAAGAAAAATAAAAGGAAAAACACATTGTTGATAAGTAAAAAACCAGTTTGATTTAAGACTACATAAAAATTTATCATTAATTGATCATTCTGTAGTGACCAACTTCATTTCTGTCTATTCCTTTGATAGTGATAGAATTCTGTCGATCAAGATTCATAGTGATCGGTAGTTCAAGTGGATTTATATAAAATGTACTATTCCAATTGACACAATTCTGTCATCACTAAAGGACTGGATAAACATGACATTAACCAATATTCAGTAATAAGTTACTTGTAAACAATCTCAGTACTGTGAAAGGAGACCATTCCCGTCTCAAACTCTTGAGCTTGGTCACGTGTCATTAAATTCACCAGAGATTACCAATTCCTTCCAGATTACAAATACATTTGACTGAAAAATTTCAAACAACATACAACCTAGGTCCGAATTTTCCTATCTTTTACATATAACCACCCTACTATATAAAAATATTCACTGTAATAACTGTCTCATAAACTAATATTATAAATATTTCCTTGAAAAAGCTTGGACCAGATTGCCAGATGAAACGTTGAATTTACTTCAAAATTCATTCGCTAAGATTTTACAAACACATTCTTCTTCTTTAATGTTCCACATTAACTCGGCGCCAAAATATTGTGAAACTATTCGATCAAATTTAAAAGAAAATTCTTATTTAGTATTATAAATATATATATTACTATTAATAATATTGTTTTTATAAAGAATCCCTAACAAAAATCTAATTCATTCTAATCATTAATTTTAATCCTTTAAAGAAAAAAATTAGATTGCATTTTCCCTATTACTATTAAAATCAAGAAAATCAATTCATCATTGAAAGAATTCAACATTCAAGTTTTAAATGTTCCCCATTTATTTTTATATTTTTTCCAAAAATTAATTAATCTAATGCTAATTAATAAAAATAATTCTTTCAATGATTAAGATCATGAGTCAATTGAAGCTAGACCACCATGGAAAACCTGGAAGCACTGGACGGCCGTTTCGTCCCGTTGTGGAACTCCTCAACAGTGCGCATCCACGACTTCGCCCCTGCGAGATTCGAACCCAAGACCTACTGGTTTCGCACGCGAGCACTTAACCACAATAGGACGAAACGGCCGTCCAGTGCTTCCAGGCTTTTCATGGTGGTCTAGCTTCAATTAACTCATGATCTTAACCATTGAAATTACTATGATATCAACCAAACCCATCTGATATTAAGAATAATTATGTTTATTTCCATTTTATTTTCTTAATTTTTTCTCAATAGTGATTAATTATGTAATCAATCAACAACATCTTAAAATGTTAACAGTCAATACATTTCAAACAGTATTGTCTTTGAATGTATCCAACTTTTTGAAAATATATTGGAGTATTAGTTTAAATTCTACAGAAGATAATAATTTACCTTCATATTATAGCAAAATGTTATTCAATATAACAATATTTCAACATTTCCTAATTTATCAAAGCTCAGTCTATTGGAATGAAACTTCAGTTAATAATACTAATGTGAATACAAATGAAAATGATAAAAATATAACAATGTAAGATTAATTTTAGTTTTAATTATGTATATCATTATTTATACCTAGTGTTATATATAGTATAACTATTTTTAAAAGATTAGTAATTGTGAACAAAGAATATTCTTAGGAGGGGTATTGTGGAGATTTTAGTAATTTCAATAGTGGAAATCATGAGTCGATTGAAGTCAGACCAACATGAAAAATCTGGATGTACTGGACGGCCGTTTCGTCCTAGTGTGAGACTCCTCGGCAGTGCGCATCCATGATCCCGACCCCTGCGATATTCGAATCCAGGACCTATCAGTCTCGCGCATGAGCGCCTAATAACTAGATCACTGAACCGGCATCCAACAGTGTTAATATCTAACTTCAACCAATACACGAAATTGCGCCACCGTACTCCATTGTCTTCAGTGAGCTGATATCTCACAACAGACCTGGTCGTTTTGTCTTGGCATCGGACTCCTAAGCAATGTATATTCATACTAGGACGAAATGACGGTCCAGTGATCCCGGGTTCTCAACAATGATCTAAGATTGATCGATTCATAATCTCAATCAAAACCCAACATTCTCCACAACCCTATACTAATAATATAATATTTGTTGTATCTCAATCACCTAATAGAAAATGGATATATATTTTAATCGTTTAAAGGTCCCCATCATATTAAAAGACTAGTATTTGAACGAAGAATATCCTTTTCGATAAATTCTCTTCAGGTTCTACATTTATATACCCAAATTAATAATCTAAAAAATGGTCAGTTTAAGGGAAAAGTTCATCTTTTAAAGTGTGTGAATTTAGGATTGTTAAACAAAATACAATCAAATTGTTAATGTTGATATGACTCAGATAGAATGTTAACTTGAATCTGTGTATATGCTAAGTGAAATTTAAGATCCATGTTCAGAATAAATATGGGTCAGATAGGGTGAGAGATATAATAGTGCAATAACAATTCGGTCAGATGTTTAGTGGAAGGCTATATTGTGTGAAAAATTAGTAAAACTTAATAAGGAGGAATGAATGCGAAGTGAATGAATCATGTATAGGGGAGATTAATAATGATGTTTAACCAATAATAATAATACAAAGATTTGTGAATAAAGATGACAGGGACAATTACAATTACTATTATAGGGGTTGTGGAGATTATTAAGTTTTTGATTGAGATCATGAACCGATTGATGTTAGACCACAATTACAATTGACTACGAAAGGTCGTAGTCAAATTAGGTCATTCAATAGCTAAGATTACTATTAATTAACTAGCTTTGATGTTGGCCAGGGGGGAGGAGTGGTTGAAGATATTTCTTCTGTACATCACCCTAAAACTTCCCCAAAGTTTGCTACACTGGCTTCCCCAAAATGGGTCAAATTCTCCCCAAAATTGGGAGCTCGTGTATTTATTAGTTGTTATAATAGATTTAATTATAATTCGTCATTTATTGAATGAAGTATCTAAGAGAACTAATTGTTTATTAATTCATATAATCAAAATGTAAATTGAGTTTAATCACTGTTTGTTTATTTATTTTCTATTATTAAAATTAAATAAAGATCTTAAAAACATCTTTAATATATTTTTAAAATGATTCCTATTACTCTTAATTATAAATTAGGAAATTAGACATTTTCAAATGAAAATACAACTAGCATTTTAACTATACACTTACAAGTATTACGTAAGCAGGTAAGGTTGTTAATCTAATGAAATCTTCAATGTTACCTCATAAAATATTTCACTATATTATAGAATCAGATTTATGACAGTTTTTTAGTGGCCCTATATCTGACTCCAATTCGATCGTATGAATATTTGTTGTCAAAATATACATCCTAGCTATCCTCGTATATAATTATCGACTTAAATCACGTTAGTGAATAATGGAATTAAAATAAGTCAAATGCGAGAATGGATTTCGAATATGTATGTTTTGTACACTCATCTACCTGAACAGACATTCAGAGTTATGAAGCGAAGAGAAGAGATAGAAGCAAAATGATGTGCGGTGATGAAGGATTGTGAGCCACCTCGATTTAGTCAAGCGTTCATTAATAATTATAGCCAGATAAAAATAGGTTACAGAAATGTGATGAACAGGATGAAAGGTTTACACACATATACGCTCATAAAAAAACAGTTAGGGTTGATAAATGAATAATTAACAAGGTCAAAACGTGACTCAAGAAGAATGGATAAATTGGCCTGACCAGAAGCTAGAATAAGGTATGTAAGCTTAACATAGTAACCGACATTACAAGTTAATTGTCTAATCTAAATGATACATTTTAGAAAGTTTCAGTATTTTGTAAAAAATATATTTTTGTACTCAATATCGTTTGAAAATGAATATTGATCGTTAACCTCTTTATGAAGACTGGACAAATGAATTCAATTTAGGGGAGGTTTTCCCAAGTACAATTATAAATCAACTCAAGTAGGTTGGATTTGCTAGCACATCACCTATAAAAAGAGAAATAATTTATTTTCATCATGTTGCGGATAAAATGTCTATTTCATACTGGGACTATTGTTGAGTTTGAAAGGCTTTATGTGTTTCTAATATTTTAGATACGCTTAAAGCTTCATTACTTTTCAAGATTTAGTTTGAATAAGTAAAAGCTTTAACCTCAGTCCAAACAACTGGGTTGATTCAGCCTTACAAGGCGTCCTGCTATGATTCCTCACTGAAGTGTTTCAAGAGTACTAGACCTTTGTAGCTAATGTTGAACGTTGATGTAATCCGTGACAATGATTTCACTTTCAATGCTTGTTTTATGTAACCAAGTTTGAATCTGAAAGATGTTAGTAATGCAAACTGATTTTAAATAACACAACTGTTAATTGAATGTATAGTACTTAATAAACACCTAACTAACGAAATATATTACAGAACGAAATTAGGTTTTAAAATAGCTTTTTACTGCTAAGATAAATTCGAAGTATGTGTAAGTTTCCTCTGTTTTTAAGTGCTCTGAACTCAAATACGAGTTTAGATACAAAGAAATATTTATTTCAGAATGAAATCAGAAATTACCAGATTAACACACAGATAGATAGATATTCAGAATCCACATACATCGATAGGAGTGAAGTGCCGTCATGGCATTTAGTAACCAAGCTTCTCAGCTTCACTTATGTTTACGTCATCCATATCTGTTGAGAAATTCAATATCTTCAGCTAAATTTCTTTCTCAGGCGAAAGATTTAATGAATTTATGCATTTTATCAGGTATCCTCTAAATATTCCACACACATACTCAGAATGAAAAACAATTTATTTAACAATATTTGTTGTTTAATATCAGATGGGTTTTTGGGATATTATAGTAATTTCAGTGGTTAAGATCATGAGTCAGTTGAAGCTAGACCACCATGGAAAACCTGGATCTTAACCATTGAAATTATTATAATATCCACAAAACCCATCTGATATTAACCAACATATAGTCACTAGTGACCGACTTCAAGAGGTATATCCTGAGGTTCTAGTGAGAAGTGGTAACCAGTAGAGTTTAACCAGGTCTGTTGTGAGATAGTAACTCACTGAAGACAGTAGTGGACGTGTCGCTCAATTTCATGGATTAGCTGAAGCTAGACATTAACACCGTTGGATGCCGGCTCAGTGGTCTAGTGGTTAAGTGCTCGTGCGCGAAACCAGTGGTTCCTGGGTTCGGATCTCGTAGGGGGCGAGGTCGTGGATGCGCACTGCTTGGGAGTCCCACAATAGAACGAGTCGCTCGTCCAGTGTTTTGAGGTTTTCCATTGTGGTCTAGCTTCAACTGACTCATGATCTTAACCATTGAAATATTTGTTGTTTTAGGTGTATACAAGTTTATAAATCAAACTTGTTACATAAATTCACAAAATTAACAGTCACTTTACAGTCTAGTTTCAAATAACACAATGAACAACAACTGGTGTTAGAAATATATACCACTGTAATTCAACTCTATTGTTTGAAGTTAACAATATTTAAATTATCAAAGTTCAAGGTTCTGTTCCTAATGATGTTGAGGATGTACATTTCAACAAGATCCTTAATAACTCGTTCCTTATTCTTGCTTTTAATTAATCATACCATTTCGTATCAATATTTAAATAAATTAAGACATAGAAATATACAACAAAATACTTTCTAATTTAAGTTGTAAATCCCTTTTTGTATTATTATTATCATCATAAACGGCAACACTATTAGTAGTGATTGCTTTGTTTGACGATGTAGTTATCCATTCAAAATTATAAATATATACATAATTATACACCTACTTATTATTATTATTAGTATCTAATAGAGTTTTTCCATTCAGTTGTTTTGTTTTAGTAACGTAGATATGATCAGTATTCAGAATATCGTATTATTTCATTTTATTAATATTGACTATTCAGTTAGTATCATTTTAATTTTTGTAGAAAATCAATCCATCTAACTAATGGGTGTATAGTGTTTGAATTTTAATTCGCTATATTTATATAACATCTTTGGTATTATTGAATGTTACCGTGTACTAATATGGCTATATAGTATGAATGCTGAATAAAGACATTGTAAAGAATATTGAATTTATTCTAACATAATACTTCTAAGTTGAATATAAGTTAATCTTCATAATAATCGCTGTTGATTAATTTCAAAGAAAATTATTATGTAATGTTAATGTATAATATGAAAGCTTTTTTTTCCTTTTTCTAGATCACTTTTTGTAAACGTAGTTACTAGTGTCATTTATACGTCTACATATTTTAATATTGATCGTTAGTTAAAGTGGCAGTCAGTCAGCAACAACGTAGAACTTTGTCCATCAGTTCGAGTTGCCATACCACATTAGCACACAGATACAATTGTCGACTCAAGTTCCGTAGTGGTAGAGGTAGTATGAATATTAGCAGTAATTGGAAAGATTAGGGTTTGGAGATGTTATTTAAAGAGTACAATCCAGTGAAATAAATCTGGAGAGAGAAAAAGGGGACATGAAGAATTCAGAAGATTAGAATTTGAAAGAACACAAAGAGTGGATGCACCTGCGCCATTGCAAACGATTTTGAGCCATGTCATTCAAGGTCTCTAACCATCGGTTGCTATCATCTCGCGGTCCCCAACCAGGTAGTCTACACCTACCAACATGACTCAGTTCACTTGTCAGTGACTTCATGGATTTGTGCCATGTTTTGGTCTGGCCACCCCTAGTTTTCTCCAACCGACTCCTATACCATAAAACATCGCACGTCGGGGCATTCGGTCGTTGGGCATACGTAACACGTGTCCCAGCCATCCCCACTGATGAAGTTCCACTACGTCATCAATTGATTTGCCATCCTTACCTAGTACCCGTTTCCTAACAACTGTGTTACTTACTCGATGATCTCAGAATATACGAGCAATGTTTCGAAGACACCTATGATCAAATACTAGTAACCTACGGATATCCTCTACTCTTACCGGCCATGTTTCACTGCCATAAAATAGGACGGAACGAACTGCTGCACAGTAAACCCATCTTTTGGTTGGTAGACGGATACCTCGCCTACGTCATAAATGACGCAAGTTGGTAAAAGCTAGTCGAGCCTTCTGCATCCGTGCTGAGATTTCGTCACACACCAGACCACAAGGGCTGATGAGACTTCCAAGATAAATGAAGCGGCCGACACGCTTAACTACTTCACTCACTATCATTAGTTCGGGTGTCGAAGCAATCCAATCCCGAAGCAACATTTTGCATTTCGAGGGGGAGAATCGCATGCCGAACATGCTTGCATTGTTTCTTATAGTGGTCAGAAGATTGCTTTTCGTCAGCGTCTTCACCAAATAGAACTGTCATCTGTGTATTCTAGCTCAAAAAGTGAATTTCCCGGTAGATGAGAAAAATGTTATCTCCAAAAGCTCGTCTACGATAAAGTTAAACAAGAATGGTGAGAGTTGACAACCCTGACAAACACCACTTGAAGTAATCAATTCTGATGACAATTCGCTATTAGCTCTCATTCGGTAGTTAAAGTGTACCAAAAGTATATCAGCCGAGTAAGTGATAATGAATTTCATTGTTTGGAGTAAAACTTCGAATAGAATACTGACCATCAATTTTGGGATGAGTAGTTTTGAAGATGACATCTTTTTAGTTTATTGAAATACAATTGATGAGATGAAGTTCACTTTGTGAATAGGAAAAAGAATAACAGCTGTAACGACAGACTAAAATACATAATTAAGCAAATGTAAAATGTTTGTTGCCCAAGTATTTTCTTCATTTCAACATACAACTTTTCGAAATTTTAATACAGAAGCGTTCGAATGAAAGCTGAAGTTTCAATAATTTTATAGTATTCATCGACTAAGGCAACATATAGTACTGATCACTAAATGAATCAACTTGGTTCAATCACATTTTTTCTTCCTGTTAACCAGCTTATTCAAACGTTTAGGAAATGCAAGGTCGTTTAAAAATAATTAAACATCATCTCACAGACAGCGAAAATAGATTAACTTTAAAGAGAAGGACGGTTCATCCACTAAATTTACTGATGGTTAAATACATTATCACTAAACGTGAAAAGTACACAAACTAAATCAGTATTGTTTACATCTTTTGATCTCGTTACCACTTTATTAACCATATCCTAGCATAACTGACTGTGTTATCACTTATTAATAAAGAGGACCCAATTATTCAGAAGTAATTGAAGTTTAGCAGGATAACTTACTTGTGTTTGAGTATAATAGAGTAAAATTCATTTGTTCTACTCATTTATTTCCTTAATAAATAAATAAAAATGAGTTGGAATTGACAGTTATTGATAAAATTCATTCACTTAATAATTCTCATCTTTGTTTGACTAATTTGATTAAGTATTTAGTTGTTATGAGATTATAAAGTTATGGAGTATTACATAATTAAGCCGAAAAATGTTTTACAGCTAAATGAGCTACCAAAAATTTCATGCTTTATTGATACTTGGGTGGTCAAATTTCTATGAAATTTTATTCCATTAAATTACTTGTTTAATTTTGCATTAAATATTGTAATACAATATTACCTACATTTGCTAAATGTCTTTAGGAATATATGTTGCATGTTTTCATCAAGTTGAATATTTAATATCTAACTTTAGAAATATCTATTAACTTTCTCAAGTGTAATATATAGCGTACACTACTTTCTACAATGTAATTGTCCGTTCATCATAACGGCAATAATTTAAGGCCTTTAGTGGGATCAAACTCAGCGACTGTAAATCTTATAATAAATCAGACAATGACTCAAGCCGGAGTCATAATTCCATGATAGCCGTATCTTAAATTAGTTAATTTAACAAGTAAAATAATCAGCATTCATGGTTAAGTAACTACCTTATTTCTAGTGTGATCTTTGAAGAATACACTTTGTCAATAATATTACAAGATGATGATCTCCAAATGATCAAATGATGATTGGTCAATATTGTTAAGTATTTCAAATCGAGTGAAAACGTCAATCTTCGTTATTGCTGTAATTAATGCCCGTACATTATAAAAATAATGTAAGTAGTTATGTATATATGTATGACCTTCTTGATACATATTTGCTAGATAGGTTAGTTGGAGAATAAATGGGACTATTTGAACATCAAGTGAACCGTAAGAAGGTATATGGGATTATTTAGATACTTATTTTAATAGTTCTAATGACTGTTAACCGTCTACTAAAATTTATATTCAGAAATTAAAGTAAACGTATTACAAAGTAACTGAAGAATTCTCAAAATAAATATCATGCAATCGGAAGAATGATGAGTAAATTGCAGATTAGTTGAATTTGATAACAACCACTGAAATCACTATTTTGTCATTTTAAAAAAAGTAGTAGATAAAACAAACTAATTTCGTGTAGTTGCTCAAATGTTATCGGCGAAATTATAAATTATAGCCGAACCAATCAGATATAAGTTAATGAGTCACTAATTTTGACGAGAAATTCATCCATTCATTTGGCTAGATAGACTTTTGGCACTATAGTTGATGTCAGTTCGTGATGAAATCCTTAAATCTAATTTTTAACCCTAACCACCAACTGTAAATAAGAATTCTAACTGCTTAATAACCCTAATTTAGTCCTAATCAGCAGATGTTCACTTTAAAGGTCACTTCAGAGTCGCTCAAAGGTCGTCCATTTAATTATAGTCTCACCATGTTATCATCTCCTGTACACTCTAATATATCAATCCGAACTCATATTTTGTAAATAATTCTAATATTTTGTTTTTATACAGTTAAATCTCTATACATTAACAAATAAGATCTTCATTTTAATCAGTTCACTATACAATATTTAACAATGCATATTTTTACTTATTTTATTATTACAGTAAAACAAAAGCTGAAAGCTCAGCATCCAATCAGTAAGTTAAAACGCTATTTATATACTTTATTTCAAGTTTCTCTAACGAATATTTTTGTCATTTTAATAAACCACAATTTGTCAGTTTTAGTTGTCATATAAAAAGTATGTTTTAAATGAATGTTTCTATTAGACAATAACGTCATCTATCCCAATTAGATACTAAAAACGACTGCATAAATATACAGACATTACCTTTTGTGTAGAAAAATTTTCCCACAAACTTTTTTGTGAATTCATTTTAATTTATTTTACTGAAGTGGCTACTTATTTAATCCACGTACTATTCTGTTTTACTCACAGTTACTCAGACAGCATATATATACTTCAATGAATGATGAAACAGATCTGGAATATTCTCAAATTAATACCATAGTGATAAATATATGTTAGAAAAATGTTTAGATTGTAGTAGAAAATTTATTTAGATTATTCAAATTTAACGAGTCTAATAAAAGACACAACAATTACAATATGAAATAAGGAAAAGTGAATATGTTTATGGAGTGAGCATAAACTATTATAAACTGTTTTCAAATTGTATAAAAAAGCTGATCAAAGCAACAACAACAAAGATTAACTAAATCAAGATGGAAAGAAAATGATAACATTTCCACTTTGAATGGGCTTTTTGTTTTATGTTAACCATTCCAATAAATGAAAATTAACTTGACATTTCTTTTTCCAAGTTGATTACTACAGATAATATAAGTGTAGTGGAGGAAAACTCAGATGAGGATGACCGAATTATTTGAGCACAAAATTACAAAACATCTCATTAAAATCTGAGAACCGTATTGTGAATATACCAATCAATTGTCTCAAACTTGACTATTCCTTTTGCAAATATCAATCCATCGTCTCATATTTCCTTGTTCATGTATTTCCATATCAATTGCTCTCCGTTCTCGCTCTTTCCATCTCGAACTTCCACTGAAATACATTCTATATCTGACCATCGTTATATACTACTTGTGTGGATATAAGTAGAGCACACCACATAAGTATTAAAATACTTTAGAAAAGTAACCTGTTCGAGTTTGAATCTTTGAAATACATATTCTGTATAAAGCCAATAGTTATTTCTTATATAACAAGTCATAATAATTCATTGCAATTTACAATGATTTAGATGAATACGATTTAGATTTATTAAAATATTTCATAATCATTCATGTTTCAGACTGATGTATTTCAAACTATATTGGGATGGTAGAGAAGATTTGTAGCTCATGAGGGTGATTTTGATGGAGTTTTGTTTTCTGAGCTGGATGAAAGCTCCATGACCAAACAAGACTCCATCAAAATCACCCACATGAGCTACAAATCTTCTCTACCATCCCAATATAGTTTGAAATACATCAGTCTGAAACATGAATGATTATGAAATATTTTAATAAATCTAAATCGTATTCATCTAAATCATTGTAAATAACAATGAATTATTATGACTTGTTATATAAGAAATAACTATTGGCTTTATACAGAATCTTAGTAGTTTACTGTAAAATGTCAATTAAAAAAAGACAACTGGGTAATCTTTTAAGAATATCATCATTTCTTTGATCAATAGAATTAAAGTTGCTTTCACAGAGCAGCTATACAAAAAACGTTTTCTTTAAAGAAACAATACAGGAGAATATTTGATAAAAAGGATTAATAACTGAAGTTGGGAAAGCATAAAGTAGGACCAGAACAATAAAATAAGTTGTTGAAAAAAGGCTACTAACCAATGTGCAAATTATTCACTTATTTCATTGTGATCAGAAACTGATCAAAGTTAGACGGTCAATGAAAACATGGAAGCAGAAGACTACCATTTCATCCTAGTATGAGACTCCTCAGATATGAGGATCTACAAACCATCCAACCAAAAGTCCAACCAAAGATCCTCGGTCTCACAAACGGCTACTCGACTTCTAAATCACTGAACTGGGATCCAGTGATGGGAAAGCCTAATTTTAATCAATCTGCCAAATTCCTCTATCATCTTTCATTGCCTTCGTAGGGTACCTTCCTCCTGTCTAATTTCAATGGAATTCAACAGTCTCCCCAATATCAGACTGACAAGAATCGCATATTTTCTATACTGTAAGTTCACACCCACCTCAAAAAGCCTCATATTCCCTTTTGAAATGTAAGACATGCATTAGACGGCTACAACTGTTCATTACAAATGGTAGAAAGGTGCTATTTCCAAATCTAACAGTATTTCATCAAATCACTCAAGTATTTATCGCAACTACTTGTTCGCATAGATCTTCCGAAAGAATTCTTAACTCGAAAATATCTGTTAACTCTTGATATATAAAACTCTTAAATGAAAATTATGTGAGTGCCTTAATTTATAATTCAAAAACTACATAGAGTGAAGTGACTATCTACTATTGCCATCACTTGTGTCTAATGCAATAAAACCCTGTTAAACACTAGATTTGGACATTCATTTGTGAAGATTATTGATAAACTAACTGGCAATTAGATACAGTGTTTTACTTCAGCCCACCGCTTAGAACCAAAAATATCGTTCATACGAAACACCAACATTACAATACGAAATTCGTTTATATTCACTAAGCTTTTGATTTTCTTTGACTGGTTGAATTCAGCAGTAATAATCAAACGAACCGATTTTTTTACATCGAAGAATAGTTTTGGTAACAATGAGTTATTTTAATCATTTACCTATTATCTCAAGTCAACCAGATTTATTAAAACAAATACAATTTATCTGTAGGATAGTTAATAGTATAAACAATCATCGTCAATCTGAATCTAGGGTTTAATTACTGCTAAAAAACACACAGAGTTCACTTAATTGTAACATTTCTGAAGACATTTACCGACTCAAAATATTGGAGCTCAAAGTAAATAATGAAATATGTCATTAGTAGTACTACGATGGTCTTCGCTAATTAGTAGCAAATCATCATCTAAGTGTTTCGCTAAAATTAACAACACAAAAAGTAGATAAAATTTTTAAAACTGATCAATAAAATTGTTTAACGCTATCGGCAGTATATAAATGACATTTATATTCTTTGCGTGGCTTGATATAGATTGGGTAATATGATCTCTATGTATACACTGGAATTTGAAGTCTATTATTTCTCATATGAGTATTAACTTTTTTTCAACTTTTTCTAGCTTCAATTTCGAATGTACCATCAATATGTTTAAAACAAAAACATTTCTGACTCCGTATTATGGACAGCCGACTAAATTTCATATTCATATTAAATTTGTGTCTCCAAATAAAAATAGTCTTCGCGAATTCTCCTTAATGACTCATTATGAGGTTAATATTCAGCAATTAAGGAGTATTAAAACGTCAGTCACCTTCACTTTTGCTGATGAAGTAAGATTTTGACTGATCCATTTTCCGAATTAATAATTTTATTCCTTTTATATAAAAAGCATATCATCAAAGTGTTATTCATTGATTCATAAATTTATTAGTTGTTACACCAAAAACTGGTTGTTAAAATTTTTAACAGAAGTTTACAGAATGCTTTGAAAAACATACTGACCAAAAACCACTTATTATGAAGTTGTTTCAGTTCTTCTCGAAGTTTTATAAACTCATGGCAATTTTTATATTGTGCCCACCTGAATATATTTAAGTTAATGTATAATGATATTTTAGCAGAATTAACAAAGGTCTCTTTGTCTACAGATGGTTATAAGCCTTTTAAATCATGTATAATTGTCATTATATTTAACAATTTATCCTTGTTTTCATTGTAATTTTGAAAAGAGAAGTTAGTTTGTTTTTAAATTGCAGCATATAGTCTAGCACGACATCAGAACTTTCAAAGGGTCATAAAAATTCAAATCATTCACTTCTTCAACGAAAAAGCTTACTTAAGTTATTAAATAACATCATACAAGTATGAAATTTCAGTCTACACAACTGTGCGATAATCACCTACTCTAGTCGTTTACCGCAGTGAAACTTCTAAATCACCAACCTGTTGTTTAAATATGAAATATTACTACCGACATATATGTTCTCCTTTTCCTTCAGTTCACATGTAGTTTGAAACTATAGTCAGTCTTTTGATATTTGCTACACTCTCATACCCCATAATTTAAATATGCTACTTCTAACACTCAATAAATAATTACTAAACTAAGTATGAATAAACTGAAAAAAAAAAAAAAGATAATTTTGTCTACAACTAATCAGAAATATCAGTCACATTGCTTAAAACTGTATATTTGGTTTAAAAATTATTGAAATGATCTAAGTGGTTGAACGAATGGTTTTCTTGCAAGATATATTAATATCTCGCGGCTAAACAGTCAATAGAAAACAGAATCAATGAATAATTGTTAGTATATATATATAATCCAGTAGAAAGAAGGTCAAGTGTTTATGGTAAAAAGGATTAACATTGTGTCGTTAAGTTACTTACCGAATAACAAATAATAGATCAAAAATGAAAATAAAGATGATATAGATATCACTGAAGCTGAACTTTAACTGTGCTATTATTTACAAACATTAGAGATAAATTACATTTGAGCTGTGAACACATACGTTAAGAAAGCAGTGATGAAAACATAAAGAAGCGAAACGGTTTCGTCAACTCTCTTTTGAATATATTACATCTAATAATTATTGATGTAATGTTTTACTGATTTAAAAAAGTTATAAATCTTGATAACTCGTCAATAACCGTATTTCCACAATTCAATTCATGAGTTGGTCTAAGCTAGACCACCATTAAGAACCTGGAAGCACTGAACAGTCGTTTCGTTCTAGTTTTCGACTTCTCAGTAGTGCTCATTTACGATCCAGCACTCAGGACTCGTGCCTAGAACATTCGGCTATTCAATACTTCCAGGTTATCAACGGCAGTCTTTTGGTGGGGCCCTTTAGTTTGTCGTCATTTAGATCGGACGTTGATTTCAAAGAGCTCTCCACTTTAGTGGCCCGGGATCTTACACCGATCAGATAGCATGAATGATTGTTATTGAATGAATGTTGTCAAAATGTATATGTCGCCTATCTTCGTATATAATCATCGACATAATTCACGTTAGTCAATAACAGGACTAAATAAGTCAAATACGAGAATGGACTTTTGGATACATATATTTTGTATATGAAGCGAATGGAAGAGAGCGAATCGAAACGACGCGCAGTGAATATGATGGGTAAGACAACTCCCTTTAGTCATTTATTTTTATTTATTTATTTGAACACATAAATATTGTTACAAGGTGGCACCAAATATATATCCGCCACACAAAACAATGAGAATGGAAAGAGAAGAAAAAAAGAAGGTAAGGAGCGTTAAAAAAAGAAAGAACAATAACGACCACAGATTAGTGTAAGGTAGTTTAGTAATAGCGATTCTTTCAGCAATTCTCTGTTACAGGAACGACGTGAACCCTTTTTAAAGATAGGGACAACTATCGACTCATTCCATGACGTTGGTACAATCTCTAGTTCCCAAACCTTTGTAAACAACGTCGTCAAGTCCTTAGTCAAAAAGTCACCACCATCTTTAAAAAGAGCCGGAGGTAAGTCATCTGAGCCAGGTGATTTGTAACGCTTCAAGAGTTGGAGTTCCTTGCGGACTTCCTCCTCGTTTGGTGGATCAGTCGTCACCGGCCATGGAGGGCAGGACAGTCTGACCGATGTTGCCGGAGCAGCAGGTCAGTTGAACTGCCGTTCGAAAAGTTCTGCCCATCGTCCAAGACGTCGATGGATGTTAGTGATTGGCATCTCATCATCCTCGCAGATTGTTTCACTCACACCAGACTTCTTGCTGCCAGTGGCTCGGATGAGTTGGAAGAGCTTCCGGTAGTTACCAGATGCAGCTGCTGCTTCCAGCTCATCATCATGCTCCGGCCACTAGGCTTCTCGGTCCTTATGCAAGCTTTGCCAGATTTTATCAGGTAACAGCCCTCGTTTGTGGTCTTGACAATAATAACCGACACTACAATCTAACTTAGATCGACTCGTAAACTCAACTATGAAAATACTACAATCTCCACAAATCCTCAAACTATATATACAATAACTCAACTGATACTTTTAATCTTCAGTTAATTTTCGTTTTAATTTATTTTATTTTATTTTTTAAATTAGAAGATTGGTTTCATTCTAAACAATCAACTAGAATGGAAATTAACTGATATTGGAATGATAAATAGATTATACAGTACAACTAATATTTATTCTAAATTAATGAATGAATCTATTAAATTAATTTTATTGCATAATATTGAAAATCAATTATTATCATTAATACTTATGGAATATAATAATCAATATGAACAAAAAATTTATTCCATTAAAAGTTGGTTACAACCATGGCGTAATTTACATGAATTTATATTACAATGGCCAAATTTAAAATTACTACAAATTATAACTATATATGATATTATACCAATAGATTTATATAGTGGAATAACATTAGATCATTTAATCTACTTTAATCATATAAAATATTTTATTATAAAAAATCAAATCATGTTTAAATTAGATGAACAAAAATTATCTATTTTATATCAAATCAAAAGATTTAATGCATCAAATACTACTGAATTAACTTTCATTAAAAGTAATATAACACAAAATGAGGAAATTATTTTACAATTAGAATTCATTATACAATTATATTACCATATCAAATTATTACCATTATATATTCAACTGATATGTGAAAGCAAAATTCATTTTTATTTATCTAATTATAAAATAAATAAAAATATGATGGGTAAATTAAAATTGAATATAGAAAAATTAAAAAGTGATATACATTTTGAATTATTAAATGATTATTTAAATAATCAATTCAATAATGATATTCAATTACAAATGAATTATGATTTTAATAATAAATCAATAATTCATCTAAGTTTTAAAACAAACACACAATTGAATATACAAAATAATTTAATGATTTATTGGAAATCAATAAATCATTCACAATATTTAATCATAAATTGTATGATTCCATCATATGGTAAATTTATTTATCATTTTAAACATAAATGGAATCATATTTATTCTTTTGAAGGTTCTAATATGTTGTCAATTCAATCATTTATAATAAATAATTGGTTGAATGGATTTTATTTAAATAATAATTATATTTTACAATTAAATACAAAAGAAAAGTTATTTGAAATATATATTGAATATAATACAAATAATTCATTAGGCCCTGGTACACCAATACGTATAAGAATAATGTTTAAACATGATGAATATTATAACCATGGTAATTTAGAAATTAGTTTAAATTCACAAATAATTGGTTATTATATTGGATATGAAATGATAAATAGTATGATTCAATATCATTTGGATACAAGTAATAATGAGAAATCAATAGATTTTATTAGTCACTGTATCATTGGATATCGTTTTTATGAAGGTCGGGGTACAAAAGGTTATCAAATTGAATTATTTATTATACAATATATAAATAATGATCAACTTGATATTTTATTTAAAATTGGACAACCTGGTCTAGTTAATCATAATATAATAGAATATAATCATTTATTACAAAGGAATCAAACAAAATTTCAAATTACTACTGTTTATTTAAATAATCCTTATTTTCATCTACATTTTGATATTCAATATATTGAGAATTTATTATTACCTATTTATTCAAATATTAGTCTATTTATTCCATGGAATCATTTAAGATTAACAATACAAGAACAATTAAAAATCAATAAATCTTCTTCTATCATTTATGAAAATCTATTAATTTCAATGAATCAATCAACAATATTTTATCATTTTAATCAATCATTTATATATGAAAATAAGTTAATTAAATCTTTAAATATACTTCAGAATATATATTTACAATGGAATACAAATGTATATCGTACACATTATAGTATATTATCTTATAAATGTTTACAAAATACTATGAATACTGAATATCATGAGCAATTTATAGTTAATTGGAATTCATCTATCTATTTAACATGGATTCATAATCATTTCAATAATAATTTAAATATTTATTATAATTTAACTGATCATATATGGAATAATAGAATTGATGGAAATATGACTGAAAGCACTAAAATCAAATTGAATACTACTATATATCAATATAATTATTATGGTAATATTATCATTTCATTTTATCATATTGATATTAAACTTATAAATACAACATATATTTATAAAAAACAATTATATAATTCATTGATATGGAATTATATTGAATTTAGTTATTGTCAAAATCAAACAATTCATACTGGATATTTAATAGAATCTATATATAAACAACAAACTGATTTGATTTCTTATCAATTTTATAATAAAATAAATAATAATACAATTTCAAATGTTTATTTACAATTAAAAGATTTTGATAATTTTCACGTTATTATAAACATTATTCCAATTAATTTTACTAATATTCAATTTATTGATATTCAATTAACAAGTAGTATATCTGTAAGTAATATTGATTGGATGTTAAATGGTACAATGGAAATTCAGCCATATTTACCTAAAATTTTGATGCTAATCAAAATATACCCAATTATGTTACATTTCAATAATAATAATAATACATTACATGTTCATTCTAAACCATTACAATATTTTATTATAATGAAAAATACAGATAAATATAGTGAATGGAAACTTTTTAATATGTCTTATATACAAACATTTGATAATGAAACTAATATACAAGCTAAAACTGTATCTATTCAATTAATAACACCATTAATAATATTGCCTTATATTACAGTGACAGTAAATAAATCCATTCAACGTATAACTACTAATGAAACATTGAAAAATTTAATTGAATTTAATCATACTACTAATTATAATCAGTCAATTAATATTCAAATGAATTCAATACAAATCAATAATAATAATTTAACGATTTTAATTAATATTCATAAAAAATATAAATTATTATTAGATATTAGAAAAATTACAAAAAATTCTTTATATTGCCATTTTATAAATATTTCATTATTTAATCAACAAAAACAATTAAATAATTTTGTACAAACTTTCGAAATAAATCAATTAAATAAACAATTTAACATTTATCAATTAAAACAACATTTACAAATACTCAATAATAATAATGATAGTTGTTATTATAATTTATTATTCAATTTAATTCATTCAAATAAAGACAAAAATAATTTGTTTAATTTATTTAATTTACATTTTAATTCAAATATACCAATATTAATTAAACAACAAATAAATGAAATGAATATATATTTTGAAAATAATAATAGTATTATTGATAATCAGTTTAGTTTTAAAACAATATTTAATTATTCATTAAATGGTATTCAATTAATTTATTATCAATTACAAATTAAATTAATTAAAAGTAACTATTTTTTATTATTATTTTTAAAATATGAAATATATTCAAACAACAAATGGATAAAATTTAAACAAAATCAAAATTGTTTTATCGAATTTCATATTTATAAACAATCTAATTATTCAATTATATTTAATTATAATGAAAAATATTCAATCATAAATTATGATGTATCACAGTCCTTATTTATATTGAACATTGAAAAGTTTATATTTTTTAAAACAAATGTCATGAAATTTATTTTATTATTATTATATAATACTACTAATCATTTGAATTATACAAAACAAAATATACAACAGATTACCAATAAAACTTTATTTATAAATAATGAAAATTATTTAATCGATTTTATCGTCATAATTCCTAACCTTATTGATTTCATATTTAAATTTCAATTATATAATACTATTGAATTTCAACAAATTTATCAAATTTCAATAATAAACATGAATGTATCTACTAATTTATCATTTATTCCATCTATCAATTATATTATTTCAATGAAGAAACAAAATATTTCATTCAAACAATTAATAACCAGCTTGGATTATTATGGATGTATTAAGAATTTATTATGTAATAATAATATTAACCAATCAAATCTTATATCACAGGCGAATAGTATATATAATCAAAATAAAACGATAATAATCAAAAGTTATTTACAAATATATAAAAATACTACTTATAACATCAATATACATGTGAATCTTAATCCTATAATTAAAACAATCATTCGACATATTATTGATATGAATATGAATAAAATAAATGATGATTCAGAAAATCTCTATGTTCAAGTTTATACAAAATATGATTTAATAAATCAAAATAATTTCATTTCTATATTAAATTTAGAAAATAAACAAAAATTAATCAATTTTACTATATTAATAAATTATTTACATAAAAATCAATTTATCAGTTTATTGATTTCGAACATTTCAAATAATAATAATAGTGAAATAAATATTGAATATTTATCAGAAAATGGGAAAAAATCAATAATTATTCGAACACTTTTGAGGAAATTAACTTATTCTATTGAATCAAATCAATTTATAATAAATGAAACGAATAATATTTATAAAAATAAAACAATCATATATGAATCAATTAATATGACAAATCTTAAAGGAAAAAATAATATTCGAATTAAATTTACTACTTATCAGAATTATTATATTCTGTATACTGGTGAGAAAACAGATGAACACATGGAAAGATTGCAACATATTGGTTTTAATCTAGAAACAAACATTTTGAAACAAGTAGATTATTTTCATTTTAAATGCTGTTAAACTGGATTGTTATTAATATTGGAAAATGTTTTTACAGCTGAATGGAAAACTGGACATTTATTACTTACTTACTTACCTGGTTACTTACTTTCGTCTTTTACTCCAAATAGAGCATAGACCATCCACTAGCATTATCCATCCCACTCTGTCCTGAGCCTTCTTTTCTAGTTCTATACAACTGTTGTTCATTTTTATCTTAAATGTGTCCATTTCTTGGTGTAATTGTTCTTTGGTCTTCCTCTTCTCCTTTGGCCTTGAGGATTCTAAGTGAGGACTTGTCTTATGACGTAGTTGGGTACTTTCCACAATGGGTGTCCTATCCACTTCCATCGCTTCTTCGTGATTTCTTCCTTCGCTGGAATCTAGTTTATTACCTCACACAGTAGGTTGTTGCTGATAGTATTTGGACAACAGATCCGAAGTATTCTGCGTAGAGAGCTGTGAATAAACACTTGTATCTTCTGGATGATTGCTTTCGTAGCTTTCCAAGTCTCCGCCCAATATAGTAGAGAAAATAACTCAACTCGAAACTTATGAATTTCAACAAGCTACTCGGACTTTATAATTATCATTAGAAATTTGTGTTAGCTTTCATTAAGATGAGGTGATCATAAGCGTTGAAATGCATGTGATCAATTGGTATCATATGTAAGGACATATACATGCTTATAAGATGAAAAAATGTGTTTTATTTGTCTCGTTTTCAATGGTGAACCAATTCTATCGACCCCTGGTCTTAATAAGTCGACTTTATTAGCAGTAGTATAAAACTGATCTGTACTTATGTTATGTGAACTTATTACACTGAATTTATAATCCTTAAAAGGAAATAAAATAAATAAACCAACTGAATTTTGATAAATTCACTTTCATTCATTTATGTGAGATATTGTGACAAATAAATATTTTGTGTTAGCATTCATGTGTAATGAATAAACCTAACTCGAAACATTAGGGTTGATACGGAGCTAAAGGTGAAAAACACAACAACGACAAGAGGAAAGAGTCAGACATGATTTCGCAATTAGATGAATGGAGATCATTTTAAATAAGAGTGGAAATTGATTAATGATAATATAATAATAATAATTGGTTGAAGTTAAACGTTAACACCATTAGACGCCGGCTCAGTGGTCTAGAAGTTAAGCACTCGTGCGTGAGACCGATAGGTCCTGGGTTCGAATCCCGCTTGCTGGATCGTAGGTGCTCACTGCTGAAGAGTTCCATATTAGAACGAAACGGCCGTCTAGCGCTTCCAGGTTCTCAATGGTAGTCTAAGATCAACTGATTCATGAACCCAACCAAATAATAGTAAAATTTAAACAAATAATACTAATGGAGATTTTGTTGAATAAATTCTTAAAGAAAATAACAAGGAAAAAACAGGAAAATAATTATATAAAGCAAATACATTTATTAACGCTGAAAGCTAAACATATGTAAATTTCAGGTCAGTAATGAAAGGTATGGAGTAATATCAAACTGACAATACAGCTGAACCGATTTTGAATTATGTCACCTAATGTTTAAAACCACTGGTTGATACCTATCATACTAAACCCGATCAGAAAATTTAAACTCAATTTTTTTTAGTTATAAATCAGCTATATTTCTTAATGAATGGTAAGAGAACTCGGACATTTGATTTCGTTTATCACATTTCACAATTGGTTCCTTCGCTCCTTTTACATTTTTTTTCAAAATATAGGGTTCTATAAATATTCTAAGCAAAATATCCAAATCTACAGGTAACACTCAGCTGATAGTAACCATGAATCATGGGTATAATTCAACTGCCGATCATCAACTTATTGTTACATGGCCACATGTTTTCGAGGAGGAACATTATCCTTTATTATTTCTAAAAACTTCGAACAAGTCTTTGAATCTAACTGTTAGTTATTTCCAACAACCGGGTATATTAAATACATGTGAGTAACTGATAAGTGTACTTTTCGATCAATAAGGTAAACCATTGCATGTTGACCTAATTTTCTACTGTAATATTTTATCTAATTTGCTTTAAAAAAATTTTCATCATTCACTAGCCACAATAAGTTCAATAAATTTTACTCAGTGATGAAATGATATAAAATATTTTGAGTTAACCAGCATAACATTAGCACCATCGGATGCCGGCTCAGTGGTCTAGTTGGTTAAGCGCCTGGACCGAGACTGACAGGTCCTGTGTTCGAATCCCGCGAGGCGGGATCGTGGATGCGCACTGTTGAGGAGTCCCACAATAGGATGGAACGGCCGTCCAGTGTTTTGAGGTTTTCCATGGTGGTCTGGTTTCAGATGACTCAAGATCTCAACTGTTGAATAAGTAAGTTTATGCTTATTATCTAAGTAATCGTTTTTATTTCACTAAGTAACACATATCTTTATACCTACTGTTCTATAGCCCTTCAGATTATAACAAATGAACACCACACACAATGTAAATTCTACTGGAAAAAATGGAATTCTATTCACCTACTGGTAAGTTTCAACTTTGATTAATTGTAAAAATTTCTGAAATAGCTAAAGTTTTTACAATGTGTGGTAGACTAAATTAATAAAAATGAAGGTTTATTATGGTATACATCCATAGCAAATAATCTTCTAAATCAAACTATTCATTACTCATAAAGAAGATGGTTTACATTAAATCTATCCCAATGCATCTGAGATTAAATCTTTTGCTAACGATAATTTCCTGTATAGGAGCTAAATTCACTTTAAGGTTGGTGAGTTGAAAGAACACATCAAACCGCTTATTAGTTTGCTTTCTTTTAAGACACTTCAATTTAAATCGAATTCGAAATGACAGAGTTCATTTATGTCTGAAGATGTGCATGTTGGTTTTGTGTTCTCTAATCTGAATGATGCAGTTGTGAAGGTCTCATCGTTTTATTAAACATCGTCACCAGTACATGCTTCAGTGGGAAGTGAGCTATTAGAATTTCTCCACAATAGGCCAACAATTTATTCTGCTGACCTAGAGTTTTATCGGTTGTTATCTATGATTGTATGCCTATTGTTTGTGTTGATTTAATCGTTTTTTTTTACTAAACCTATTCCTGAATTTTCACTGATCAGTCCTTCCCCTTATTGGCTGATAGATTTGGTTGATGTAGAAATGTCCATAAATTGATACTAAACCAGGGATCATAGGCGTCTAAAACCTCCCTAGTTTACTTTTAGACTCATCTATCGAATACTTCAAAATTTTTGGAGTCGAAATCATATCTAACGTTTTCCATATCCATATGAGTAAAACCATATCGTTGCGTTTCACAGCTAACTGGTGCTCAGATAAACAAGTGAGAGGTTACTTTGTCCTTTGTAGCATTTGTCTCAGTTACTGCAATTTACACTGCCTACGGTATTTCTAGACAACAACCAACTAAACTCTGGGTCAGTAGAATAAGTTATTTGTCTATTGTGGAAAAATTCTAATATTTCACTCTTCTCTGAAGTATGTGCTGGTGACGATGTCAAATAAGACAATGAAACCTTCACAACTACATGAACCCAGAGAGCATAACACTACCAAATAAGTAAAATTTCCACTTTTCTTCAATGTAGACAGTTTGATCCAATAAACGTCTGTACTCTTGTTGGGATGAGTTATTAGTAAATCTCTAATTTATTTTGTTTATTTAAAATGTTCACGTGCTTACTTTTTAGAATTATAAAAATATTTATAATTTGAGTCAAAACACTGTTGATTTAAATTGAGAACTCCTTAAATAACAAAAAAATACTATTATCTTTTTGACATTAGGGATTTAAATGGATTCTCATTTTATCCTGCTAATCTTCAATCATTATATCTCAAGTGGAGTAAATACTCTTCAAAATAAGATGATTAAATCGTGGGAAGTTTCGGCAGATTTCATACTCTCTCTGGGTCACATGATAAGCTCGAGGCAAGTGTTTGGCGGTCATTTTAACTGGATTATTCGCCCAACCAATATCGCTCTCTAGATTTTCCTATCTGCCCAAATCTGTACACTTTGATCAAATCATGAATTGTAAGGAAAGATATTCGGCTTTTCGTACCAAACCTTCCTACATAGTCCTCTCCCTCACAGCTGCTTGGTGAAACATAGAAGAGCATATTATTAGATGGACAAAGTCGTAGAACATAATAGTCTATGGACCTGATGACTTTAAAGTTTATAGTATTAAATTAGAAATGTAACGTTGTTTACAAATATTTGGTCTAAGTTCAATTCCTTCTTCCGATTTCGCTAACCACGTTTTGTGAAACCGAACGCGAAGTGTTTCTTGGTCTACTAATAATGAAAAGTATCACCAGTAAATATTTCACTTAACAATATGTAGAGTGAATGTAGTACAAATAATTCATTTCCAAAGGAGTATAAATAAAAGGAACCTAGTGTGGAGAACATCCTGCTCAGAGAACAAAACTCCACCGGAACCTAGTGTATAATCCAATAATACGTAGGAAGATCAATTATAATGATGCAGTTTCAAGGCTTGGTTTGAATTTCAACTTTAACAATTACCGTAATTTTTAAAATTAAATACATCGTATTTATCTAACAAACTTGTAATTATTTTCATTTGAAGAAGGGATTTCAAACGGTTCTGTAGAACAAAACATGTCGGCTTTAAAAGAATCTTAGTTACTTACTTGCTTACGCCTGTTACTTCTCGTGAAAGAGTACAGGCCGCCCACCATCACTCTACATCCAACCCTGTCCTGGGCAATCCTTTCCAGCTCCTTCCAGTTGTTATTCATACTTTTCATATCTGCTTCTATTTCTTGACATAATGTGTTCCTCAGCCTTCCTTTTTTCCGCTTCTCTTCAGGATTCCAAGTTAGGGATTGCCTCGTGATGCAGTTTGGTGATTTCTACAATGTATGTCCTAACCATTTCCATCATCTTTTCCTAATTTCCTCTTCAGCTGGAAGCTGGTTTGTTCTTTCCCACAGAAGGCTGTTGCTGATGGTATCCTGCCAACGACGGACATTGAGTATCTTGTGTAGACAATTGTTTGTAAATACTTGTACCTTCTTGATGATGGTTGTTGTAGTTCTCCAAGTTTCAGCTCCGTACATTAGAACTATCTTCACGTTCGTATTAAAGATTCTCACTTTGATATTGGTTGGAAGTTGTTTTGAGTTACATATGTTCTTCAATTGTGTAGGGATGCGGCCCTTGCTTTGCCGATCCTCACCTTTACGTCTACATCTGATCCTCCTTGTTCATCGACGGTGTTTCCCAGATACGTGGAGGATTCTACATAGTCCAGAGTTTCGCCATTAAGTGTGATTGCGTTAGTGTTTTCTGTGTTGTATTTGGGGATTTTAGTTTCCCCCTTGTGTAGGTTGAGGCCTACTAATACAGAGTCTGCTGCTACACTTGCTGTCTTAATTTTCATTTGTTCGTGTGTGTGCGATAGGAGAGCTAGGTCATCTGCGAAGTCCAAATCGTCTAATTGGTTCTGAGCTGTCCATTGTATTCCGTGTTTTCCTTCAGATGTTGAGGTCTTCATAATCCAGTCGACCACCAGAAGAAAGAGGAAGGGAGAGAGTAAACAGCCTTGTCTGACACCGGTCCTTACTTGGAATGCATCTGTCAGCTGTCCTCCATGCACGACCTTGCACTGTAGTCTGTCGTATGAGTTCCGGATAATATTGACAATCTTCTCAGAAACTCCATAGTGTCGGAGAAGTTTCCATAATGTCCTCCTATCTACACTGTCAAATGCCTTTTCATAATCAATGAAGTTGATGTAAAGTGACGAGTTCCACTCGACTTATTGTTCGACGACGATCTGCAGTGTCACGATTTGGTTTGTGCACGATCGATCCTTACAGAATCCAGTCTGTTGATCTCAAAGTTGGGCGTCTACTGCATCTTTCATCTGGTTCAGCAAGACTCTGTTAAAAACTTTCCCTGGTACTGACAGTAGTGTGATGCCTCTGTAGTTTTCACATTCGCTCAGATCTCCTTTCTTTGGAATCTTGACGAGGTGTCCTTCTTTCCAGTCCATCAACACTTGTTCCCCCTCCCAAATCTTCTTGAATAGAAGGCGAAGCATGTTTGTAGCTACTTCGATGTCTGACTTCAGTGCTTCAGCTGGTATATTGTCAGGTCCTGCTGCTTTCCCGCTCTCGATTTGTCTGACGGCCATTCTGATTTCTTCCATCGTTGGTGGATTGACATCTATAGGAAGATCTGTGTGCTGCTTCAATGTCTGGTGGATTCATTGGAGTCGACCTATTCAGGATTTTTTGAAGTACTCTACCCATCTTTCCCGCCTGCCTTCTGTGTCTTTGACCGGTCTCTCGGGTTTACTATATTTCCCTGCTAGTTTCTTCATTGTATCGTAAAGTTGTTTCATATTTCCTTCCCTTGCAGCTTTTTCCGCCGTCGTTGCTAGTTCTTCCACGTATTTCTGCTTGTCGGCTCTAATTCAATTCTTCACTTGCTTGTTTGCATCTATGTACTCAGCTTGTGCTTGGACTTTCTATGCTCGTATTTGGCTGTTGTTAATTGCTGTCTTCTCGTTCTTCCTTTAGTTGATCCTACCCAGTGTTTCTATAAAGATCCATTCCTTATGATGATGCTTCTTTAGGCCCAGAACCTCTTGACACGTTGAAGTTAATGCGTCTTTGATACCTTTCCAGTTTTCCTCTATAGTAGTTTTTTCCTCCTTCAGTAGATCTTGTACGCTTGGAACCTGATGTTGAGAGCTATCTTGAATTCATTGAGTTTGTTAGTATCTCGGAGGAAGGCTGTATTGAACCTTTGTAGTACTGTTTGTCCAGTTGTCCAGTTTTTTTAGCTTCAGTTCTAAATTGGCCACAACTAGGTGGTGATCTGAAGCTATATCAGCTCCTCTCCTGGTTCTCACATCTTCCATCGTCCTTCGGAATTTTTTATTGATACAAATATGATCTATCTGGTTCTCTGTAGTGTGGTCCGGTGAGATCCATGTAGCTTTGTGTATACGTTTATGTGGAAATATTGTGCAGCCTATGACCAATTTGTTGAATGCACACAGATTTGCAAATCTTTCTCCATTTTCGTTTCTCTCGCCCAGTCCATGTTGTCCCATGATATATGATGTTGTCCATTCCGACTTTGGCGTTTAGATCTCACATCAGAATGATTAGGTCGTTTCTTGGGCATTTCTCAATGATTGACTGCAGCTGCTCGTAGAATTGATCTTTAATGTGGTCGTTGATCTCATTGGAGGGTGCATAACATTGGATAATATTCATTGTGATCCCCTCCTTCTTTGTTTTGAATGATGCTTTGATGATTCTGAATCCGTGAGATTCTCATCCTACAAGTGCATTTCGTGCTACTTTGTACAGCATCAGAGCAACTCCCTGAGTGTGTGGAGCATTTTCCTCTTTGTTACCGGAGTACGGCGGCAACTCTCCCGTATCTAGACTTTGCTGTCCAACTTGGGTCCAGTGCGATTCTCTGATTCCTAGTACTGCCAATTTGTAT